TGAAATGTACATCACAAGTCTCTCGGCGTCAAATATACATTATATGAAGGGATAATGACACAAACAGTCCTTAAATTTTGGCCCAATGCACAATTTGATCCATGAACTTTTAATTTGTTCAATATAGTCCCTGAACTTTAACTTAATATTCAATGTGATCCCTGAACTTTTAATTTATTATTGTTGAACATTTTCATATAGTTCAGAGACTAAATTGAACATGTACCAAAAGTCCAGGGACCACATTGAATAAATTAAAAGTTCAGGAACCACATTGAACATTAAGCTAAAGTTCAGGGATTATATTGAATAAATTAAAAGTTTAGGGACTAAATTGCGCATTTGGCCAAAGTTCAGGGACTGTTTGTATCATTATGCCTTATATGAAAAAGTTTATTTATATATGTCACTAACATAGGAAATTTCGAAAGACTTGGCTGATAGAAAGGGAGCTCTGACACATGCATCATCCGAAATTGTGTTCAATTACGCATTGGTGACACATTAATATAGAGGAAAATTTACCCATAAAATCCTAACATATCGCACTTTTGTAAATTCAGCCCTAAGTTATTTAATTATTTCAATTGAGTCATAAATCTTTTCAAGTTTTGCCAATCGAGTCCGTCTAGCCTATTTTGTTTGGAAATTGCTAACATAGATGCCGGTCGTGGCACGGCTGGCGCTAACATTGACATTTTTAATAATATTTTAATATTTTTTGAATTTTTATCATTTTTTTTCTTTTGTTCACTATTTTTTGTTTTTTTTTTTTGGGGGCAAGGCCCACGACACACTCGCTGTGGCCATTGAGGGCTCGAGCGAGGGCATCGTGGCCATTGCCCAGAGCCGGCGTGGGTCAACCAACCACAGTCGTCAGCCCTCACTCCTGAAAATAATAAAAAGTAAAGAAAAGGAAAGAAGAAAGCAAAAAATTTATACAAAAATTCAAAAAATTTATTGAAACATTATTAAAAATATTCCTGTCAGCGCGGGTCATGCCGCGTAGGATGGCCGACTTCCACATTAGCAAATTTTGGCCAAAATTGGCCGAATTGACTCAATTGACAAAACGTGAAAATGTTTAAGACTCAATTGACACAATTAAAAAGTTTAGGACCCAATTGGCAAAAGTGAAATAGAGCTATGACTTTTTTGGTAATTTTCCCATTAATATAGTGCTACAAATTTACATTACGGCTAAACCAATGTCCACAAGGCAAGAAAAGAATCTAATATATCATACAATGTCGTCCATCCAAGTCAAGATGTTTCACATATTCAAAAGTAGGTATTGAAATTTAATGAATCATATCATGTATCATATTCAAGTTAAGATGTTCACATATTCAAAAGTAGGTATTGAAATACAATGTATCATACCATGCCTCCCCATAAACTAGTTAGATTCAGGAATTTGACTTGTGAATATGACCTTGATGCAAAGCAGTTTGCACGCAGTTGATGAGATCAAAACAAATAGCCTCCAATTCTAAACTGGAAATCCTCTTAAGTCCCAACCGATGGCGCTAAATCTAGGGGTTATCGTTTGTCCGAAGTTCAATTTTCATCGTATCATTGATCTTATCATGCCATTGTTTTGGCCAATAGATCTTGTAATGCACTCATACCTCTCAAATCTCAATTGGGTTTTCCCCGAGAGGCAAAAGGGAAAGCATCTAGTGCCATCCTTTGCGGCTCGAAAGGGGAAGCTAAAAGTATGCATTTGACCATTTTAAGGACGGCTCACAAATCTTGGCTTAATGTAAAACCATTGGACGAGTGGTGCACGAATAGTTTTCAGCTCTTTCGATACCCTTTTCGTTCCCTAAAAAATATTCGAAATAAGATTTTTCCGAATACAAAATTTCATTTGTCTAGATATATTCTGTTGCATTCTAGCCGCCGAAAGGTATAGAACAATCAAGGCGAAATAAAATATAAATTGAGCTCGTTCCATCTATAATGCTACCTCTGAGCAGTGCACACAATAACCCTCTTACAACTTTCATGAATTATAGTGATGCTGAGCTTTTATTGTAGCTGGTCCACTGGTTCCCAAACCACCCTACACATGGGTTGATAAGGGTTGATGTACTTTTAAACCTCATTGATTGCAAATTTATTTTTAATTGGATATAATAAAATCAATAGACCAAGTACCTCAAAAAGATAGGTCCATGTTATCTTACATTTGATTTATTTTTTTTGACGAGGCAATCCCATTTTTCTTTCATGGATGAAAGCGAAGTAGAAAATCAAACGCGATGTCGAAATTCAGTAAAATCTATGTGCTGCTTCTAGTAGAGTTAGAGCATACCCCACTATCTTATGCGAGCCACAGTTGACTCGGAGGGAGTTAGTGAAAATGAGCATATATGAGACTTTGTGACTTTTCTATCAATTTGTATTGCTCTTTCTAATATTGCTGCTCCTACCATGAGTGCTGACTTAGAAGAAACATCAACCCTTTTGTTTGCTCGAATTGTAAGAAATGGTTTTGCAGATAATAAAGTTCCTGATTAAAAAAAAAAAAGGAATCGTAAGAAGGGTCTAATATTTCGGAAAGTGATTAGACTTGGTCTATAGCAAGCTTAGGTTCGTCGAACTCATTATTTAGTAAGTTAGGCATCTATGCAATAATCCATTCGACGGTCCATAAGACAATCATGCTGTTCAAATCTAAGAATAATTCAATGTCTTCCCATGTTAGGCAGCATTTCTTACACCCTATTCTCTCTCTCTCTCTCTCTCTCTCTCTCTCTCTCTCTCTCTCTCTCTCTCTCTCTCTCTCTCCTCGTCAACTTGGAAAATCTTTTCTCAATCACCAAATTTGCATAATTGTTGCCGTTTTTCTTCCTTTATCTTGACTGGATAACTGGTTCACTCCTATCAACATCATTTGATCATATTGGGAAGAAGGTGGTGTTGATGCCAATTGGGTTTATGGGTCCCGTGTCTTATCATTGAAATTGGATGGCTTTCCAAATGCAAGTACTAATAATTGACTCCATCACAGTGGCCAGGCTATAATAATACTTCCCCCCAAAAAAATTGAAAAATAATAGCTGACACTTTATGTTAAGCTAGAGTACGGAGCAAGAGAGGTACTTGGACTAGTAATTTATTCTAATTGGGCCATCTTTTGCTAATCCAAGATGGGAAAAAAGCCAACTTTTGGCCCGTTCGTCGGCCCATATATAGTTAAGATTGATCTTCAAACCATTTCATTGTAAAATGTAGACGCTCGATTAGTTCATGGCATATAGTTGTTGGCAGCAATAGGTGGTCGACCTTGCATGACATGCTATTTTCCCTTCAAGATATGCAAGTGAATGATCACTTAACTTTACAAAACAGATCTACTAGGTGCATGTCCTAGACCGTCTTGTGATCAATTTTGGCATTAATACCGTTGCCACAAACCTTGGACCCTTGTACGTCCTGACATGGAGACAAGAAGTGGAGTGCCATTTGTGCTGTTATCATATTCAAGAATCATTTGTTCTATTATCCCTTCGATATAACATCCTTGTCAAACCCCAAAGAAAAATATCTCTCAGACCTAAATGGTTGCAATTTCTCGATAGACTTTGCAAAGGAAAGAGAAAAATTGAGGATGTGCAGCACTTCCAAAGATTCAATTTTGCAAGTTCATGAGCACCACCCTGGCAATTGTGTGTTTAAGATCGTTGGGATTAGTCCAAGAATTAAACGTTATGCTGATAATCATTACACACCACCAATCCCAGAGAAATTCCGAATACAGGCCTAGATCATTTGTGCAAACAAACTTTTGCGATGCTAAGATCCCAAGTCAAGAGGGAAACAGCTTAGATCGTAGGCTAAGATCCAAAGATGAGAGGGAAACAGCTCAGATCGTATGCTAAGGTCCCTAAGTAATCATTTAGGGTCGGTTTGTTTCGCATAATATAAATAATTTAAAAAAAATTTAAAAAAATCGCTGGTATCGCTTAAATAATTAGTTACTAAAAAATATTTTTATTATCAACAACATAAGTCTAAATATTTTCATGGATAATAAAACAAATTTCATTCATTTGTTTTTATAAACGATACAAACGGTCATTTTTAGCAAAATATTTTTCAAATTATTCATCTTTCGTAAAATAAAATTGAGCCTTAGCAGTAAAAGGAAGTGATCAAGTGTTGACAACCAGCAAGTGGGCTTGGAAGCAGTCACCCTCGACTCTTTTTCCAAATGAATTTCTGAAAATTCTTTTTGATTTTTGATTTGGAGAAGCCATTTTGTCAATTGGTGTCAAAATAGAATAGGGGTATAAAAATAGAGAATCTATTCTCTCTCTCTCTCTCTCTTTTTTAAAAGAAGGAGGCCCTAATAAACAAATTAAATAAGGCTTGAATGCACCCCTCTCCTATATATGTATAAATAGAATAGCCCATTTATCGGAATGGTAAAAGTGCCCCGATAACCATAGGAAATAACTAGAAAAATGAAGGAATTTTTTAATCCTTACTAACTTGATTTTGTTGCCCCTGGCAACAAACATGCACGGTCCCTTTCGTTATTAATGGGATTAGGGATACTTCCGGCAAGAAATATATCGAAGAGTTCGTGCTAGGCTGGCTAAAAATCAAAGTTTGTCATACCCTTGGTCTAAAATTCCTGAAAAATTACACACCACTTACGTTCAATGTATACCAAACTTGTAACCTAAATGACATACCTAACTCAACATGGTACAAGTGAGAGCCAAAGACAACACGAAACTCAATTAAGGTTTGCGTCTTGAAATGCGTCCAAGACTAGAATGACTTCAAATTTAGAATCGAATGCTTTCGCTATCATTAAAATTTTTGAACGATTTTAAATTCACTTATCTTTTCTATTTTGGCTATTAACAATTCGATTGAATTAATCATCTAGTAGTCCATGACCAATGAAGGAAATTGGGATCACCATCATAACATTCCATCATCACCCACCGTCACAAAGTCAGCAAATACAAATTGCTGCGTTTCTCAATTTCCATCAAAAGTGTATAGCTCTATGTTAAATACACGACATATATTGGTGGCACTAACACTAGCGCATGCAAGCCACAGACATGTCCGATGAACTAAATCCACAAAACTAAACAACTACAAACACAATTCATGAAAAACATTCAAATCAAAAGAAGGAAAAGATAAAGGAAGAACACCTGCATGCTCATTAAAAAGGCTAATCGATATGCCCTTTTGCCAAGAATGATGATCGCAGAGAAGCAGCGAAGGGCAAACACAAGGTCGTCGTCGACGACGTCAACGTGAGCGAGCTCAAGTTACTAGAAGATGACATAAGGTTATCATCGCTAGAAGTGCCAGACGACCCATTTGAACTGCACTTGCTCGTAGCTTCAGAGCCTCTTGCCTGATTCTTGGATCTGGACATCGTCACCTGGGGCTTCTTGTTCTTGATCATCCTCCAAAACCTCGTCTTTAAACAGCTCGAAGAAGACCCTTTGGGGCCACCGCTGTCGTCGTCCGGCCTCGACGGCAGTTTAATGCTCTTGGAGGCCGTGATTGGAGGGGGGTTGATTCTTGGGACATCAATGGGGTCCCTCTTTGGTGGGTCGAATTTGCATTTACCAGGCTGCATTTCCCATTGAAATGGGATTTGGCCGGGGCTGCGATACTGATAATGGCGACTAGAGTTGCCGATCGTTGGCTCTCTTGAGAGGATTCTGTGGAAGTTAGAGTCTTCACCTTCTAGCACAGAGACTGGTTTGTGACCGTCAGCTTCTGATCTGTGAAAATCCATTTTTCAATCTTGATCTGAGGATGATGTACGTGGGTGTGTTGTGTATATATTATACATGAGAGGTTGGGAGTGCACCCGCCAAATTTGGGAAGGTAATCAATTCATAGGGGTTTGTGAATTGGAAGTAAGTAAATCCATAATATCCCTTCATATCCTCATAACTATTTTCTTGTCACTTACTAGTTTCGAAGAGATACTTCCTTTCATGTATTTCCGGCATCTCAAGTGGGCATGTACGTTTGATTTGCTGAAAACTTAATAATAACGGAAAATATTTTCTGGAAAATCATTTTTCATGAAAATGTTTAGTTTTTCTTTATTTGGTGATAGACGAAGGAAATCGTTTTATGATGTTTGGATTTCATTGGAAAATGATTTCAATCTCATGACTTTATTTCGGGCAAAAAGAAATTCTAATTTTTTAATATTTTTTATTTTTAAAAAATCAAATTTTTAATTATTTTTATTTCTCTTTTTTATTTTTTATTTTCTCTTTTCTCTTTTCTTTTTTTCTTTTCATTCCTTTTCTTTTTCCTCCTTCCTCCACCGTGATCGATACGAACACAGGCAAGCTTGAGACTTGCCTGGTGATAGCCATAGGCGAGCTTGAGCTCGCCAGCCTCGACAGAGCTCGAGGTCACTTGGATCTGGCAAGCCGCGAGCTTGTCAACCTTAATGGAGCTCGGGCTCCCGTGGATCGGCTGAGCCTCGAGCTTGTCGGCTTGCGTCCTAGAGGTCTCCAGGCTGCCGGCCTAAGGCAAGCTCGAGGCTAGCCGCCAGAGGCCGCAAGCTCATCAGCCTAAGGCGAGCTCAAGGCTCGCCACCAGAGGCCGCGAGCTCAATGCCCGTTGCCATGGCTGGTGACCAGCCGAGGAAGAAGAAAAAGAAAAAGGAAGAAAAGAAAGAAAAAAGAAAAGAAAATAATAAATAATTCGATTTTTTTTAAAATAATAATAAATGATTTTTTAAATAAATAAATAAAATTTTCGAATTTTTTAAATAAATATTTTTATAAGAACAAACGTTTCATTAATTAAGGATCCAAGCCCGAGCGCCGAGGACCTGCGCACGATCTTTGTGGACTCGGGTAGGAGGGTCGGAACTAGAGCTCGAGTATCGGAGACCTAAGTACGGCTTTTATGGACCCGAGTTCAAGTGCTGGAGCATTGAGTACGGGCACCAGGGGTTCGGGATGGGAACCGGGGGCCCGGGCCCTGGACACCGAGGTCTCGAGCTCGGCTGCCGAGACCTAGTCCTGAATGTCGGGACTCGGGAACCAACGTTGAGGTTTTCGTACCCAAGAGTGGAGTTTCGGGTCCAAGCGCCGATAGCTAATCATACTTCGGAAAACGTTTTCCGATTCGTTCAAAGAGGAAATCACTTTCCTAATTTTAAGCTTTGGTAAGGAAACCTTTTTCATTGATTGGGAAAATATTTTCCGTTGACTCATTTTCCTAAGCAAACCAAACGCTGGAAAATGAGGAAAGTGTTTTCCCGGAAAATGCTTTCCGCGAAACAAACGGACCAATTGTAACTCTTTCTTCTTTTCATGAGCCAGGGTTTTTTTTTGTTAATACCACAAAAAATCTCAAATTGATACACTTGTGATAAATTTACCATAAACTAAATTTTTTACCATCAAAAACCTCAAACTGGTACACCTGTGATAATTTTACCATTAAAATTTTAAGTTGGATAACATGTGACAGTTGATCGATATACGAGTTTGGGATTTTACTTTCCATTTGTCACAGGTGTACCGGTTTGTGCTTTGTTGTTGTATTAATTTAATTTAACGGATGGTAAATTTGTTGTAAATGTACTAGTTTTGGGGTTTCTGTGATCAAAAAATTAGTTTGGAGTAAATTTGTCACATGTGTACTATATTGGGATTTTTCATAGTATCAACCTTTTTTTGCCTTTTTTTTTTCTTTTGCATTCAATTTTCGGTCCGAGAAAGTGTTCCGTAACGATTCAATCATAATGCTCGCTTGATATATAATCCCAATCAACTTAGCATCAAAATCTAAAAAACCCAAACCCATCTTTGATTAGTTTGCTTTTTTTCACATGTCACTATCGCATGGTACGATCCAAATATAAAACCTTTTTAAACGGGCCCTCTAGACACCTACTAATCCACCAAAGCGTCCCTCCGTAACCGTGTGATTAGCGGAACTTGTATGTATCTTTCCTCTTTGAATTGGAGCCTCAGTGGAAAAGGAAGTTGTGATTGAGCGATGACAACCAGTAGGGGGGGTTTTAAAGCAGCCATTCTGGACTCTTTATTTGAAATGAATTTCAAAAAATTCTTTTTGATTCTTAATTTCGAGAAACCATTTTGTTTATTGGTGTCAAAATAGGAAATAGGGTATAAAAATGGAGAATCTTTTCTTTCTTTCTTTTTGAAAAGGAGAAGGCCCTATTAAACAAACAAGACCAAGGCTTCGCCTTTTTTTTCTCTCATATCTGTATAAATAGAATAAACCATTTGTACAAAATGGCAAAGGGCCTCGATGACCATTGGAAATGACTAGAAAAATGTCCTTACCAACTTGATCTTGTTGCCCCCGGCAACAAACATGCATGGTCCCTCTATATCGAAGAGTTTGTGCTGGGCTAGCCAAATATCAAATTTTATCATAAGCTTGATCCAAAATCCCTGAAAAAATACACACCGCTTACGTTTAATGTGTGATGCAATCAAACTTGCCCTAACCTAAATGGCATACCTAACTCAGCATGGTACAAGAGAGACAACACCAAACTCAATTAAGGTTGGCATCTTGAAATGCGTCCAAGCCTGGAATGACTTCAAATTTACAATCGTATGCTTTTGCTTTCATTGAAATTTTTGAACGATTTGATTCGCTGGAATTAGCTCATCTTTTCTGTTTTGGCCATCAAGAATTCAAGTGAATCAATCATCCAGTGACCATCTTTAGGGCGACAACATAAAATCCCATCATCACCAAGATAGCAAATAAAAATTGCCGCTTTTCTCAATCTTCATCAAAACTGTATAGCTCTATGTTAAATACACGACATCTATATTAGTGGCACCAACACTAGCGCATGCAACCCATAGACGTGTCCGATGAACTAAATCCACAAAAACTAACAACTACAAGCACAATTCATGAAAAACATTCGAATCAAAAGAAGAAGACAACAAAAAGGAAGAACACGTACATGCTCATTAAAAAGGCCAATCGCTATGTCCTTTTGCCATGTTTGATAATTGCAGAGGAGCAGCGAAGGACAAACACGAGGCTGTCGACGATGACGATGTGGACGAACTCGAGTTGCTAGAAGACGACATCCGGTTATCGTCGCTAGAAGTGCAGGACGACCCGTTTGAACTGCACTTGCTCGTAACTTCAGAGCCTCTCGCTTGATTCTTGGATCTGGGCATCGCCAGCTGGAGCTTCTTGGTCTTGATCATCCTCCAAATTTTCATCTTCGACCAGCTCGAACAAGATCCTTTGAGGCCACCGCCGCGGTTCGGCCTCGACGGCAGTTCCATGCTCTTGGAGGACGAGATTGGCGGGGGGCTGATTCTCGGGAGGCTGCTGCCGGGGTCCTTCTTTGGTGGCTCGAATTTGCATTTCCCGGGCTGCTTCTCCCATTGAAATGGGATTTGACCGGGGTTTCGATACAGATTGTAGCGACCGGAGTTGCCGACCGACGGCTCTCTCGAGAGGATCCTGTGGAAGTAAGAGCCTTCACCATCTAGCACGGAGACTGGTCTGCGGCCTTCAGCTTTTGATGGGTGAAAATCCATTTGTTTCATGTTTTGATCTGAGAATGATGTTTGTGGGCGTGCTGTGTTGTGTTGTGATGCTTTGTGTTGTGTTATATGTGGAAGGTTGGGAGTGTATCCGCCAAATCTGGCAAGGCAAATCAATTCATAACGGCTTAGGATTTTGGGAGTAAGTAAATCCCTAATATCCCTTCAAATCCTCCTAATTGTTTTGTCATTTACCAGTTTTGAAGAGATACTTCCCTTCATGTGTTTCCTCCATCTTGTGTAGCTCTTTCTGCTTCTCATGAGCCACACACTTTTGGGTTTTATTTTCTCTCTGCCTCTTTTTTTTTTTTCGCATTCAATGTTCGGGGCCGAGAAAGTATTCCATCTTGATTTCACGGTGGGATTGGTGTAACAATTCAATCATAATACTCGCTATTAACATGATTCTAATCAGCTTTGTGGCTGTAATCTCAGAAATCTTGTCTCTGATTAGCTTTGCTTTTTTCACATGTTACTATCCCATGGCACGACCGAAACATAAAACCTTTTTAAACCGGCTCTTTGGACACCTACTAAGCCACCAAAGCATCCCTACATAATTGGGTGATTAATGGGACCTGTATGTTCCTTTCCTCTTAATATTAGTACATGTTTTTCCACCTCCATTTTTCTTGCTCGTCTCATTTTGACTTAATTCATATATAGCTTGGAGCTCACTTTTGACCTTTTAAAATTTGAATGTGTGCAATGTGTGCAAATTGCAATATGTGTGCAAAAAACAATATTAGTCTTTCAATTGGATCGCACGGATTGAACTTTTATGAGTGATTATGAAAGAAAATTTATGGAAAATTTCGTCATCGCTCACTTTTTTTTTCAGTAACGAGGAAAGATGAAGATAAATTTAATAATAAAGCTCTTCATGGATCATCAAGTGTTACAATCCGTATCCCATCTTTTGAAAATACCATTTGTACTACTAGCCTTCCAACAACCGAATGTAATTTCAATTTTACATCGGTCTTAAATACAGATAAATAAATAAAAATTCAAACATCACAGAAAATAGCACAATAAACAGAGATTTTCCTTTATGCATTTGATTTCTCAAAACATTGTGATAAAGTAAGAAGATATTCGTTTCAAGCACCGGATCCAAATTTGAAAAATTGTTCACAACCATCTATCAAAAGGGACCGCAAACAATTAGATAATTAGTCTAAGTGTTATACCACAAAAAACCCTAAACCGGTACACTTGTGACAAATCCACCCCAAATTAATTTTTTGACCACAAAAAATTCCAAACTGGTACATCTGTGACAAATTTACCCTATGTTAATTTTCATTAATCCCAAACTGGTACACTTGTAATAAATTTACCCCAAATTAATTTTTGACAACAAAAAACCCAAAACTAGTACACCTGTGATAAATTTACCTTCTATTAATTTTCATTAAATTTTACCCTCAAATTGCTCAGTTGGATGACACGTGACAGTTGACGGCCGTACCAGTTTAGAGTTTCACCCCTCTCTTTGTTACAGATTTACCAATTAATGGCTTTTTGTGATATTAATCCAATTTTACGGAGGATATATTTGTGACAGGTATACCAGTTTGGGGTTTTTCGGTGGTCAAAAAAATAGTTTTAGGTAAATTTGTCCCAAATGTATCAGTTTAGGGTTTTTTGTGACAAAAAAAACTAATTTGGAATAAATTTGTCGCTACTATATCAGTTTGTGATTTTTCGTGGTATTAACCCTTAGTTTAATATATTGGTTTAAAAGAAGAAAGTTTATTTGCGATTCTACTCTTATGAATAAGGACTACTGGCTAGTATTGATGGACACACGGCACTTGTGTAAAGATGCATTGCACGTTAAGAAACTACAGGAATTTTTCATCTTTTAATGTGGTAAGTAACTTCTCTCTGTTATACGTTATAATAGAATTACCAAGTCCTTTTCAAATTGTCTTCCAACTACTTTGCTTCATAAACAAGTTCTGTCCTTCTCAAATCGGCAATTTTGTCCAGTATTTAGGAAAACAATTTTCAAGATATGTGAAGTTTGGATTTTGACATATGATCGATAACATTTCATGGGAAAGGTACAAGGCCACTAGAGGAAGTGAGCTCTTTTTCATATTAATCAATATCTTTTGCATATTTGAAAATAACATATCATTCATCAGTAAAATCTTTCATGTCCAGTATCTTTCCCAAGCGAAGAGTAATTTTCGATAAGTTAAGTGGCTTATAACTTTTCACTGTGAGCTACTTAGAAAAGTCACCATCACAATCTTCCGAAGTGTCCCAGAGGCTATCGGCCTTTCACTCTAGCACCGTTTGCTGAAGACAAGCTACAAGATGATTAATATTGACAGAAAATGAGGTACAGTCCTCCCTATGCTCTACTAATAACTCTTTTACTAGCTTCTCATGTAGTCTCGAATGAAGTACATGAAGGTGTACATATTGGCTCGATGCCGCCATCTCAGGGCATTGCTGAACATTGGGCATGTTTGAAGAACAATCCTCACAGAGTGACAAGTTCGGTTGCCCTACTGAGTTGATAGGAGCCGACGCCTTTGAGAGAATCTTACTCATCAGGCTGTTTCAGTTCGGAGTCCCTAAAATAAAAAATGAAGCAGTCAGGACATAGCAACATGAAACTCCTGATTAAAGATTACGGAAGAGAAGACAAGCATCTTGGATATGCATTACCCCTATGTGATAATAGGTAAACTTTGAACCATTACAGTAGTCAGAGAACTAGTGGTTTTGCTCGCAATAGGTGATTTCATCCTCAGTGTCATCCTCACCTAATATTCTTAAAACCCTCCTCAAATCAAAAGGGAATGGTTTATATGTCAAAGAGGAAACTTGATAATCTGAACCACCAAGAAACCGTCTTTGAAGTTAAGGTTCCAAGAAATTACTCCATGCACATTAAGAGGTCACATTATCTTCTACACACTAAACTAAGTTCTCAAGAGCCAATACCAACTTCACCAAAATATAAAGGGATAAAGGAATCATACAGCAGGACCAACTCTTTTTAGTTAGCATCATCGTATGCATAAAAAAAAATCTAAACAGGACACTGGCCAATTCAGTTAATGATCAATCTATACCTCGAGAGGAGATGGTGAAATTGGTTCCCTGTCAAGGCAAAAACATAAAACAGGTCCATCAGGTTTCCTTCTTCAGGTAAGTCTGAACATGGAAATCCACTAAAAGGCAACATAAAGAGATACCTTTTTCTCTCAGTCTTTGCAAGATGTTTGGACATTATCGATGCCTGCAATAAATGGTTAGGGTCATACTGCGGTTCAACTTCAAACAACACCCACGGCAACCCCAAACCCATATGACAAACGAACCAGACAGGGAAAGTTATGTAAATGACAAGGAAAATCAGGAAAGGGGACAACTCATCCCTGGTTTAGCTATATTAAGACACGAACAACTTGGGTAACTTTCAAGTGATAAGAGTTAGTGAGAACTAGCCAAGACCTCTAAACTTGGACTATTTCCCACCTCTAAAGCTGAAAAAGAAAGGAGATCAGCAATATCGACATCCTTATTACTACTTTTCAGTGTATAGGTTCGCCCTTTGATGGATCAGAAAAATCAAATATCTTTTTAGTAAAGAGGAGCACATTAACGTGCCTCAAAAATTGCAGCAAAAAGGAGACACAAGCAGATTGCAAAATTTGATGCACGAGTTTCAAACCTCTATGTGAGTATTAACACTAGCATGACATGAAAAATAAAATGATTGTAAATCATAGCTCCAAGCCTCCAACAAACTGCTCATCAGGTGAAGTATACAAAGCTTCTGATCAGAATCTGTTTCTATGGCTAAAGATGCTAAATGGTAAACAGGTTGATAGGCATAAACAAGAAGTGTTAAGAGGCAAGATACAACCAAATAATGTTACCTACAACTTATCGACAAGTTCGACAATGATGACGATCAGCAGTATGACAAGCCTCAGAAAAACGAATGACCTGAAATGCCGGTCTTTTATGCAGGAGAGGGAATTTCAGTACCTGTTCCTGAATGATGCTCCTTGCCTCAACAAGTTGAGCTTCAAGCTCGAGCTCTCTCTCAGTGGCTTCAGAAGTAACTTCTGCCCCTCTCTGTGCATCTTGCAATTGGACCATCCGTTCCTATAGTGTCAAAGCATAGGAGTCAACTATGTCCCTGAATTTGGCTAGATCGCTATTTTTTTAGAGCAAGGGTGGTGAAAATTACCTTTATAGAAGCCATTTTATTTCTAAGGCTTTCTTCAATTTGATCTCTGGCCATATGAAGAGGCAAGTCAAAGACATCCTAGAGACATTAGACAATTAGTCACTCAAGTAAAAGTGGCAGCACTTCAACAGGAAAGAATGAGATACCGCCAGTTTTAAAAGACAGCTCACCGTTCTCCCACCCAGTGGAGACTGGGAAGGGTCATTTTCATGTTTTCCATTGACAGCTTGAGATTGCTTGGGCAATCCATTTGGAGCATTGAAAAATTCACGCATATCTGTCTGCAGGTCAATACCAGTGGTGTGACCTAACTGTCCATTTATACAGACAATACCAGGCCCAACTAAATCAACCAAATTTAATCTATGACAATGAAAAATAATGAGTATGGGATGGTCTAAATAGCAAGTTCATGCAGAATGTTCCCAAAGACGAGCCAATGACTCTTAGCTCAGCAGAACTGCGGATGGTGCGACATAAATAAAATAAGTCCTAACACACATACTTGCATTGACCGCAATAATGCCCGCAAATCATTGTTCTCAGCCATCAACTCTTGATTTTTGGCTTCATAGGCATCAACCTGTCAGTGACAACAATCATATCATGGAGGAATAAATAGAATGCCATGCCACTACCCCATATATCATCAAGCTAAAATATAGAAAAAGGTTACGCACAATTTTTTTGTAGAAGTCATTATCGGCCTTCTTCCCGTTCCATGTCCCACGTTGCCGACCTTCTTTCTGTTTATACATAAGATATCGTCAAGAACCACCGACGAATAGACCAAAAGGCTAAACCGCAACAAATAAATGGTTACCTGAAGCAAATTCATTATCTCCATCCCTGATCTAGATTCCTTCTTCTTTTCCATCAAAACTTGGTTTAGCCTCTCCTGCAAAAGGGAAAGGGTATACTTCAATATCAAGGCCACGGTCTAGATAGTTAGATACAAGGAATGCAGTATAAGCTGATACATCTACAACCATGGCGCATGGGTTCTCTTAAAGAATTTCAAAATACAAGGAAGAAGCGAACCTGCAACTTTATGTACTCCTTTTCTTTTTTCTTCATCTCGTGTATCTGCTGAGTCCTCACTTGCTTCACAACGTCAGAAAAGCAAATTAACCATAATCAGTATCCCACATTTCATGCAGCCAAAACCAAGATGCAGTGGTAAAATTCAACGATCTTAACCTGATTCCCAATGACCATCCTCTGAAATTCATCTCTCTCTTGTTGTAACTTCTCGATTTGGGCCTTAAACTGAGCTGTAGCTTTAGCTTCCTGATCATGAAAACGTGAATCGTCAACGAAACCACGAGTTGCAGCTGTTAGCACTTCACAAAGGTCCGAGCTTCTTACCGTTCTCGTAATCGTAGCGATTTCCCTGTCCTTGGCTTGCAGTTGTGACTCCAGCCTCTCAACTTTGGCTTCTAATCTCGAGATGTCCGAAAGCAGTCTATTACGCAGGAAAAAAACTCATCAATGCACGCAAAGATCATGTACCTAGCACCATTTCAATCTCTCCCGATATACTTCTCCCTAGCCACGCTAGCTACAAGAAAAATGCACTCCTTTCGTACTCACGGCAGATCCTACTAAACGACATTGTCAACCAAACATTCATTTCGACGCTAGTAAATTCCCGAACCTAAAATGCTAAAACCCAAGAACAGCCGGTAAATTAAGATAAGCTTAAACCAAAAAAAAAAAGGGCCGAGCTTTTCAGCACGAAATCCCAAAATTTGAGCTCGATCTGCTGCGGACGGAACAATCGTGTTATCATTAGAACAGAATCAGCTGCTACCTCTGCCTCTGCTCGTTAGCAGAGTCCCTGAATTCGACGTCGCGCTGCCTCTGCTGAAGCAGAGAGTAGAGGCAATTGCAAGTCCTGGCGATCGATACCTGCCGGAGGAAAGCAAGCGGATCAGGACCACCGGCGGGGAAGCTCAACCTCTTCAACAACAACAACAACAACAACCACCACCACCACCACCACCACAACCACCCGCACACAACAGAAAAAGAAGAAGAAGAAGAGGGGGGAGGGGGGCCGAGGAGAACGCAACCGGATCGCTGGCGAAGAGGTCCAGGGAAGCGGGGAAGCCGAAAGTGACGAGGGTCTGGTTCAAGTAGCGCGCGCAGTGGTCCAAGTTGCCGGCATCGGCGAACGCGTACTCCCTGCACAGGAGGCGAAAAACAAGCAAAAACCCATCAACGCTCGCGGCGCGCGGAGGCGCAAAAAACGGAGCAGGAGGCGGCGGCGGCGGCGGAGGAGGGGAGGGGAGGTACCCGGCGGAGAAGGCGGAGTGGGGCGACGGCTGCCGAGAGAAATGCACAGCGGGGGTTAGAGAGAGAGAGAGAGAGAGAGGAAGAAGACGGAAAGTGGAGAGGGGCAGGAGGAGGAGAAGGGGGGGCTTACTCGGAGATCGAACTGGGTGTCAGTGGCCGCCATTGCCGGAGGCGAGAGGAGCTCCGACGGAGATAGGAGAGGGGAGAGGAGAGAGAGGGAGTCTCTTTCGGAATAGATCTGCGAAGGAAGAGAAGGAAGTTTGAAAAATCGAAAGAGGAAGACGAGCGTGTTTTTGTTTGTGATTTTTTTAATTCATTATTTATTATTCCCCTATATTTTTCTCTCTTTTGCTTTATCAGGGATACGGGATTATGGTAAAAGTTTGCCGATTAACGCTGCCCCCATGTGAACTTTTCCCCCTTTCTCTCTCTCTCTCTCTATTTACAATGAAAAAGCACAAAAAAAAAATATAATTAAGTCCTAAAAATTTCGATAAGTGCAATCACGCCGTTCCATTAACTCTATCCGGCTCTTTTTTTTTCTTTTGGTCTCGCTTCCTTCGATAGTGTACATTGCATTAGCCATAAACTATGTACAACTTGACGAACGGAAATTGTTAAGAAAGTTTTAGAATTAGATTGCGCTTTTTGGAAGTTTTAAAGCTCGACTGCATGAATGTAAGCGGGGTGCTAAGAAGTGTTCGTAAAGCTAAACAATACTAAATACCAAACAAGCATTCCTCTCTCTCTCTCTCTCATCCCACATCCGATTGCTACCACTTGGCTTGCAAAGCCGATCGCCCTCGTGCTCTACCTCTTCTCATCTCTCTTGAGGCTCCATGCCAGCTACCTTCACACCTCACTACAACCGAGGTCACAACCACCCTGATATCTTCACGCAGTCATTGGCAATGCAATAGGCCAACGAGACCTATATCTCCCCTCCCTTTGCCCTCGCCGAGGACAAAGGAGGCCTCGAAAAAAATTATCCACATTAGCCCTATACCTCACTACAACCGAGGTCACAACCACCCTGATATCTTCACGCAGTCATTGGCAATGCAATAGGCCAACGAGACCTATATCTTCTTTTGGAAAATATTTTCCCGGAAGTCATTTTCCTGGAAAATGTTTTTCCGGAACATAATTTTCCGGTGTTCGGCGATCAATATGAAAAAGTTTCGGAAAATATTTTTCGCCGGCGACCGGCCGCGTCAGGCAGCCGCGCGACCAGCAGCCAGCGTCCGGCGGCCGGCGACCGACGGCCAACGTCCGGCGTCCGGCGACCTTAGTGAAGAAGAAGAAGCTCCGGAAAATGATTTCCGCTTTTGAAGAAGCGGAAGTCATTTTCTGTAGACTTAGGCTATTTTGTGAGGGGGGAAGGAAAATATTTTCCCACGGAAAACGTTTTCCGCCCCCCGAATGCCGAAAAATCCGAAAAATATTTTTCGGAAGAATATTTTCCGCCTAACGAAGGGAACCTTAGAAAGTGATCAAAAGTTCTTCACGTCATACGAGGTTGTAGCTTGAAGGATCTGCCAATGGCGGCCAGATGGCACGATCAAGGAAAGGCGTGCGCGAGTCAAGAGCACTCAAAAACTCAAAGGACAAAATAATAGGATGCCGATTAAAAGTACAAATATAACTATGGATGACATTTTGCTTTGCCTATTTTAAATATTTCCGTAGACATTTTCGTAAACGATGAAATTTTTTTTTTGTTTGTCCATTTTTATAAGGCGACACGGGTGAATATCTTTAGAAAAATATTTATTGAATTACTTATTTTTTCGCGAAATAAACGGAGCTAAAATCCATTTCTAATTTATAATTGATCTTTTTATTTTCTCGTGACCTTTCTCGAAAGATTATGCCAAAACGGAGTTGAACTTCTAAGCCTCGATTTCTTTTTTTTCAAATGCCCCCAACCACAAGCAACCCAGCACATACGAAGCAAGTATAGTAGCTTCACCAATTCGAGCGGCCATTGATGCTTTAAATTAAAAGCGATTCACCTAGATTTTCCGATTTCTATTGCTAATCGAATTATTCGGTTAATGACATAGAGAACGCTCGGCACGTTGAGCGCATTCGTACTAGTGCGCGAAAGCACGAAACGCCGCTCGCGCCGATTAATCGATGTTCATATGATTTGGAAGCGGGTAGCTTCTTCATTCGTGAATTGAAGCTGGCTTTGCCGATAAGTAGGCTCTTTTGGATTCGTCAATTCCGGAATGAGAGAGCTCACCGTCCTTCCCTAGCGACATCGCTAGAGTCTTTCTTCTTCTTCTTCTTTTGTCAAAAGGAAGATTCCATTCGTTTCTCAAAATAATACTCGAGAGGTACATAGAAAGCTTTCACGCCTAGCAAATTCGAAATAGCCGCGGAAGACAGCAAATGCAAGAATGCAAGTAGCAAAGCACGGTCTTCAAAAGTTAGAAGCACGCTCTCATCCTTCGAGAACAGATCTGCTATTATAAAGAGATCGTACAAATGTCGTCATCTTCGTCCCAGCAAGTTTGTTTTTGAGCTGTTTTTTTAATGGAGGATCACATGCGCGCACGTCCTAATGTTTCTCCAACACCTTCCAGATCCAGGCCAGAAATGGATATGTCACGATTGACTGGTCCCAGCTAGTTCGTTTTGGAAAAATATTTTTAAGGAAAATATTTTTCGCGTTTTCAGTGTTCGGGGCGAAAAATGTTTTCCTCAAATCCTTCATTGTTTTGAGGAAAATGATTGCCCATGGGAGGGAAAATATTTTCCGTGGGAGAGGAAGTTGATCGCCGGTCCGGGAATGAAAAAGAAAATGGCACCCACTTTGGTCCTTATTTGATAATTTGTTCCGGAAAAATTTTTGGAAAATGGAAATATTGTCAAAGGAGAATACGATCGACTGGTCCTTAATGTTTGGAACTAGTCCCAGCCTCAACAGTTGACATACGCTTGAAACTTTGGCTGAATGCCACCCACGTCGTCGATGTCCGATAAAAAATGGTTCGATTTTCTCGTATATCTATCCGTATCCCGCGAGTCCATTCACGGGGTGGCGAAAGCCATCATCGTTCTCGTGCAGGTCCGGGATACGGGCGGCGCGCCTGCGCAATTTTCTTCGGCAATTCCCCAGGGCATGGAGTTATGCGTGATAATCATCGATAAGTCGACGGTTCGTAATAATCCCCTTTCTCTCGCGAGAGCGAGACGGTATTCAGAAAACCTCGGATGAGGTATTGATGGTAGCTTCGAGGGATTCACCTCTTCGACGAGGTACTACTTGTGCTTTTCCCGACGTGCTCAGGGATGAGATGATTCGCGTGATCTTAAGAGGTTCTGCCGACTTAAAAGAGCTATGGACTTTGTTCTAAAAGGCACGAAAATGAGAGGCAAATACTGTTATGAAAACTCAATATGTTAGATGAATGCGTTGTTTAATATTTAAAAATTATACTGCTTCGGCTCACGCTTAATCTGGTCACGGAACCCGATAAGATTTTAACTCGGGACTTCATCTGCTCTGATTCTACGTTAGATTTTATAAAATCGCTATCATCTATTTTAAAATTTGAAATTATTAGATAATTTAATATTTAAATATTGTATCACCATCGGAACATTTAGACCTATCCACGACACATCACGAGAATTGACGACCCCTTCAAAAGGTACAAACAAAGGGGGAACTTTCACCTTGTCTTGTCCGAATGCTAATGAGACCAAAGTCCAACCTGAGCAAAAGCAAGGTCAACATTCTTCCAATCCGGGCTCGGTCCAAGAACTTTCTCCTAATTAAACTCCTCCCAATTGAAAAGGACAAGCAAAAAGTTGCTCATTAGTGATTAATCACCCTTTTTTAACAAGATAATGATACAAACAAACTCTAAACTTTCGCTCAATATATATAATGTGGTCCCTAAATTTTTAATTTATTCATTGTAGTATCTGAACTTTAATTTAATGTTCAATATGGTCCATGAATTTTTAATTTGTATAATATGGTCCATGAACTTTTGGTACATGTTCAATGTAGTCCCTGAACTATATGAAAATATTCAATGTAGTCATTCCAAAAGTTCATGAATATATTGAACATATACCAAAAGTTCAGGTATGACATTAAACAAATTAAAAGTTTCAAGGATTATATTGACCAAATTAAAAGTTCATGGATCACATTGTATATTAAGCAAAAATTCAGAGATTGTTTGTGTCAAATGCCCATTCATTTCTGGCAAAATCAAGATAATGGGCAGTAAACTCTCGTCTTCCAAAGTGGGTTAAACAAAGGGTTAAACATAATCGATACCAGAATCAAAATATTTCCTTTCATTAAAAGACTAATTTGTACAAAAACACGTGTACCCGTTACGAATGAACAGCCTAACACGTGATCTTTCGACATGCTATAGTTTGCAGAGTTCGAGAAGCAACCTGCGCATCTCAGCGGTGAAGTCATCACACATTCAACTTGACGTTAGACAGTCACTGGGTGCCATACTAATGCTCTGTACAAGCTCATACAGAGGAGATTTCGACATTGAAATAATCTTTTATCAAACTCAAAACTAGGCGCAAGCAAAACCGACAGATAAAATTGGGAACCGCCCGGATCGGACCGGCTGATTTGATCCTGTTTCTGGGGGTGCCGATCTGATCCCCGGTTCCTAAAAGCTGAACCAGTGACTAGGCGGTCCATTTCTCGATTCCAAGGGAGAATCGGACCACCGGGACTGATTGTTTTTTTTAAAATTTTTTAAATGTAAACCCGATGATTTAAAATTCCTCGCATATGCTTCCTCTTTCTCTCCTCTTTTGGTTTTTTAGAATTCGCCCACAACGCTCATGTCTCCTCTTTAGTCTTTCCCTCTCTTCTATTTTCTAATCGGCCTAATTCAGGTGAAACTTGGCGGACTTTGCTTAAATTTGTCTCTTACTAAAAACAGAATTAACTAGATTTTTTTTATTCGATTTTTTTGAAGAGCTGTCCGTCTTGAACTTTGAGTTTTAGCTCAATTGCTTCAAATGGTGCCCATATCGGTAGAACATGAGCTTCCCATCAGCTCGACCGGTTCTATCATCAATTCTGAATTCCATAAAACCAAAACAATAATATAGATATTTCATATCGATTGGTTTTTCTGTCCTAATCCATGCTCGCCTCCCTTTTCAAAATTTTCGTGTGGTGAAGCTCCGGAGACGAGCTAATATGTATGAAATCTTTTTCGCTTGGCGACCGGAATAAAATATACTGTTGATGACGCCGATTAAAATGAGATGCTTAAAATGACCGGTTCTAGAGACCTTCGGATCTGTCCCTGTTCCGAAAATGGAGAAACGGTCCCTCTGATCCGGTTCTCAGTTTCCGGGTGAGATCGGGCTGGATCGGAACTGATCACCCGCACTTTGAGTCAAAACTTCAGATCAAGGAAGCTGAGCTTTTATTTTCTCAACGAAAACTGAAAATTCTGTTCATATAACATCGCAATAGAAAGTTGCAAGAAGAACACGAGCAATATACGTGGGACACAGTAGTACATTTCAGCGTCCGGAAAGGAGGGATGGAAAAACAGAAGAAAAAGCAAAGAGAAAATCTTTTTAGGCGCATTGACTAAATTACTCTTCCTCTCTCTCTCTCTCTCTTCCTCTCTCTTCTGTGGCGATAGGTTTGGTGGGTTGTGGTTGGAGAGAGAGAGAGAGAGAGAGAGAGAGAGGGAGAAGACTCCTCTGCAACTCTGCAACTCTCCTCTCCCTCCGGAAACCGGCGACGACCCATTATTCAACGCCCCCATTCACGATCTGGGTCCCGGTTACTTTCCCCCGAGCGCCTCGTTGCCGGTCGCCACCCTCCGGCGAAGACCCCATCGCCGCCGCCGCCGCCTTCGGTTCCCGTCGGACTGTTGTGGGGGCCGGCCCGTTTGATCGGACATGGACCGCCCCAGTGCCTCATCGGAGCCCGCCGCGGAGCTGGCCGCCCTTCTCCTCGCGAACAAGGAGCTGGCGATGATCCTGACCACCTCCCTCGCGGTCTTGATCGGGTGCGTCGTGGTGTTCTTCTGGCGCCGATCCGGCGGCCAGAAGCCGAGATCCTTCGAGCCGCCCAAGCCCCTGATTGTCAAGGAGCCCGAGCCCGAGATTGACGACGGTAAAAAGAAAGTCACCATCTTTTTCGGTACCCAGACTGGTACGGCCGAAGGTTTCGCTAAGGTGTGTGTAGTCTGTGTACTGATGGCGCCGATCTTATTCGTGAGCTTAATTGCAGCGTGGAAATTATGTGGATATCCGTGTTTTTCGTAGTTTGATTGGCGTGGTCGTGTTTTGATGTTGGTCTGTGGTTCTTGGGCTGTAGGCAATGGCTGAAGAAGCTAAAGCTAGATATGATAAGGCGGCGTTTAAAGTTGTTGACATGGTAAAGTTGACTTGTCTCTTCGATTGGTGTTCTGGTTTTGATTGCGAGTAATAGATGATGATAATTTGCGACTCGGGATACTTGATGTGATTCTTGAGAGTGTTTGTGTTTGGAATTAGGATGATTACGCCGCCGATGATGAGGAGTATGAGGAAAAGCTGAAGAAGGAGACTCTGGCCATTTTCTTTCTGGCCACGTGAGCTTTTATTTACTTGGAATGAGATATCATTGACTGGTTTCATCAATTCCTTACTTTTGTATTTTCTTCCCTCCCCCAATGTCGTCTTACTTTCAACGCTGGTGTAGATACGGAGATGGTGAGCCAACTGATAATGCAGCAAGGTTCTTTAAGTGGTTTACAGAGGTAAATTGGACAAACTCAAATTGATCAACTCTCTGTTTGTTGTGAGGACTAGAGTTTGGCTCATTTCTTGATTGCATGAAAATGTGGTTATTAGGGAAAAGAGAGAGGAGAATGGCTTCAAAACCTGCAATATGGAGTGTTTGGCCTTGGCAACAGGCAGTATGAGCATTTTAACAAGGTCCGACTCAAACCCAATCAAGTATTTAGCAATCTGTGTTTTTTCCTGTTGTCCATATAAGATGGAGAACCTTTGGTTTGATTTATACGCAGTCTTCATCTTCCCATGCTAGCTTAATTTATGCTTTCCTGACATAGGTTGCCAAGGTGGTTGATGATGCCCTTGTTGAGCAAGGTATTTGAACCTGCTTCATATATTCCTATTCTTGCTCTAGACTTTAAGTTGATTCTTGACTGGAACTCTGGGCTGTCTCAAAATGCAAAACAAACCTCTATGGTTATGGTTGCTTTAATTTCATACAGAAGGAATATGTATCAACTTCTATTATTACTTTTTTATATTATCGCGGTAACTTTGTTTTATTTCTTTTCTAACACAATTGGCATTCTGAAATTGTTTTATTGGTCAATCATATTTGTGGCATTGGTCAGTTATTTATTTGTCATCTTCACTCAGAAATGCTAGACAATTTACGTTACTTATAGATGCTTAGAAAAGAAAGAGGGAAGAAAACAAATGGATTGGTTTACCTATAGATTTGTTTGTTGATGATGTCATAGAGTAGGCTATGCAAGTCCACGCCTATCGTCATTCTTGTTGCTCTACACCGAGTGCTACCAGAGTAGCACTTGCAGGAAATAAATAGGTGGGAAAGTAATACAGTGCGTCCCAAGCAAGCATTAGCCATCTTGACAAGGTGGTCTGTTCTAGTTCTCATTGCTTTCTCTCTGCCGGTTTGTGGCTCTGCAGGTGCGAAGCGTCTCGTGCCAGTGGGTCTTGGGGATGATGATCAATGCATCGAGGATGACTTCAGTGCATGGTAAGTGTCTCGGCATATGCTTGGTGTAATTCATAGCTCAAATATGTATAGGCCGATCAGTGCTATGAGAGCTCATAATTGTTTGGTTGTCAATGCGATAGGCGGGAGTTGGTGTGGCCGGAGTTGGATAATTTGCTACGGGATGAGGATGATGCTCCAAGTGCTTCTACTCCTTATACTGCTGCTGTATTGGAATATAGGGTTGTGTATCAGGACCCTATGGATACACCGGCTCTGGAGAAAAGCTTAAGCAGTGCCAATGGTAATGCCGTTATTGATGCTCAACACCCATGCAGGTAGAGAAATAAGTGCCTTTTGAGAATGCATGTTGCCACTTTCCTCTGGCTTCTTGGTTATTTCATTGTTTTTACCCTCTTATTTACCTTTTCTGCTGCATGAAGGGCTAATGTTGCCCTAAGGAGAGAACTCCACACTCCCGAATCTGATCGATCCTGCATTCATTTGGAATTTGACATTGCCGGGACTGGAGTTGCGTAAGTTGCCAATGGTGTTGTTTCTAATATGTGTCTTCTGTCTTGTCGCTTGCGTCAATAAGTCTGATTTTTTTGTAGATTTCTTGTGTGAGACATTATAGATTTTCCATCCTCTCATGCTTACTTTTTCTCCAGATATGAGACTGGGGATCATGTTGGTGTTTACTGTGAGAATCTAATGGAAACTGTTGATGAAGCATTGAATTTATTGGGTGTGCCACCAGAGACTTATTTCTCCATCCACACCGATAAGGAGGATGGTACGCCATTGAGTGGTGGCTCATTGCCTCCTCCATTCCCACCATGTACATTGAGAACAGCCTTATCTAAATATGCAGATCTCTTGAATTCACCGAAAAAGGTCAGTCCACGGTGTAATGGTTCATATTATGTCATAATGTTTTCACACGTACCGATGATTAATTGTGTTGTGGATGTGGTTTCAGTCTGCTTTGCTTGCATTAGCAGCTCATGCTTCTGATCCAAATGAGGCTGATCGACTGAGATATCTCGCATCGCCCACTGGAAAGGTCCGATTTGCAGATTATTTAAATGTTTCTACCTCCATCATATTGTGGTAGTATTTTGTATAATAATAGTACAGGCGGTGCTAGGGGTGCTAGATCTTACTAAATGGCATGAATTACACTTGGAGGTATTTAAATGGCTAATGAAATATGCGGGGCTCAAGACATGGCTGTTAGCTTCATTCAATTCATCAATGGAAACTTTTACATACCATTTGGTATACAAGACTGAGTAATTGTTCTTGGTACATCTATTGTTTCTCTGTAACAAAAGTAGAATTTGACTCGAACTACTTTTGTAAATGTGACAGGATGAATATGCACAATGGGTAGTCGCAAGCCAAAGAAGCCTCCTTGAAGTCATGGCCGAGTTCCCTTCTGCAAAACCGCCCCTTGGTGTCTTCTTTGCAGGAGTCGCTCCGCGGCTGCAACCCAGATTTTACTCAATCTCCTCCTCTCCTAGGTGATTCTACGCTTACATATCACTCTCTATTTTCCCTTCTCCTTCATTAAGCTGGATCTAAAGACGTACTTTAAAGAGAGGTTTGCATGTTGAGAGCTTCATTCGTGCTGGTATATTATGCTCCCTCCTTCTTGGAGCTTGATGCTTGCTTGAAATGCATAAATGACAGTTTTCTTAGATCACTAAGCAGAGAACTTCTCTTTGTAACATCACAAAATTAAGATTGTAAAGTGGCCTTTAAGATTCATAGATTTTGAGTACTTACTAATTTTCTTTCTACTATTTACAAAATCATATTTGACTTGCTGAACTTAGAATGTCGATTTTAAATTTCCAGGATGGTGCCCTCTAGAATTCATGTTACCTGTGCACTAGTTTATGGAGAAACACCAACTGGAAGGACTCACAAAGGAGTTTGTTCAACTTGGATGAAGGTATTTAAAATGATTGTTACTTCCCTTCTAATTATTCTCTTTTCTGTGTAAAGGAAGTAGAATAGTTGGACAATTTTTGCTAGTAGGACTTAAGAAACTGAAAGTTATCAAGCTTTTGTTGAATACAAGCCTACGAGGATGCTTAATTTTGAATGGGTAAATTATGTGGTTTGTCCATCTTGGCTTCTGCGGATTCCTTGTTTTCCTTTTTTAAGTTGGGGAGTGATATGAAGATTACATGTATTCTTTGTATTCTTAAAATTTTAATAAATTATTCCCCCTCTTTTCAGAATGCTGTGCCATTGGATGAGAGTGATCAATGCAGTTGGGCTCCTATTTTTGTGAGGCAATCGAACTTCAAACTTCCTACAGATTCTAAAGTACCCATTATCATGATTGGGCCAGGCACTGGGTTAGCACCTTTTAGGGGTTTCCTACAGGTTCAGCGCAAGTCTTTATTCAGTTTTGTACCATGATCTCCTCTCTATTCAAGCTCCTGATATCACCAAGATAATCTGTTTCAGGAAAGGTTAGCTCTGAAAGAAGCTGGAGTGGAACTTGGACCATCTATACTATTTTTCGGGTGCAGAAACCGCAGACTGGTAGGTTATTTCCTATTTCTCTGTTGATGTTTAGATAGATTTGGGGGCAGTTTAGTAAATATTTTAAATGATGCGACTGTAAGCATCTAATTCGGTCTTCCTATTGCAGGATTTCATTTATGAAGACGAACTGAACAACTTTGTTAAAGCTGGTGCACTGTCTGAGCTTCTTCTAGCCTTCTCGCGTGAGGGACCAACCAAGGAATACGTGCAACACAAAATGTTAGAGAAGGTATTGGTCATTGTTTGCTTGCTTCTAGCTCATCCTCTTTATTCAACTTCCATCAACTGGCTCTCAATGGTTTTCATTTTATCTCAGGCTTCAGATGTTTGGAAAATAATCTCCGAGGGAGGCTACTTATATGTTTGTGGTGATGCCAAAGGCATGGCTAGGGACGTTCACAGAACTTTGCACACGATTGTTCAAGAGCAGGTATGACTGAAATTTCATACTTAGTGGCTAATTCCACCTACCTTACTTAATTGGCATGGCATGGTATTAAAGTGAAAAGATGTTATAAGTTGCAAAGGCCAATTATGTGTCGTTGCAATTTAAATATTTGTGTGCATGCTCTCGCGTTAGAGAGCGGGATCTCACAATCTGATGAGTTTTCGCCTTAATTAAATTGGCACGGCATTAGAGTTCAAACTATTACGATAACCAACCACATCCTTTTAATTTGTGTACTTGTGCGCATGCTCTTGTCAACGTTTAATAGATTCAATTCTCAGTATGTCATCATGCTTTGATTCAACTGGATTCAAGTTCACCAGCTCAATTATGTTCATCCGATTGTGTGTTGCTCATGCTTTTGATAAGGTTTCCGCTACAGCTTTGCCATGACATGTTTCTATTTTTTTTTTTCATATGCGTCTCAGGGATCTCTTGACAGCTCAAAAACCGAGAGTATGGTGAAAAATTTGCAAATGAACGGTAGGTATCTGCGTGACGTGTGGTGACACGCGCACCTCCTCTGTAAAACCATTTTGAAGAGAGGGGGACAGAGAAAATAAAAGTACACAACATTTCGTCAGGGTACATGTGACAGGAGTTGGGAGAAATTAATTGTAAGGTCACACACTGAAACCTACTGTTGGACCACTCAAGTCACGTGGTAGTCATAGCAAGCTTATTATGTAATTCTTTTTAGTCTTCTGATATATAAAGTGCTATTTATCGCCGTAGTTTTACGCATACACATTGATAATGACAATTTAGACATTAGTTTGTGTAATTGTATCCTCAAATTTTCATTGCATAATCCCTGAAAGAGGTTAAAATGACAGTTAATGCGGTTTTCCATACAATTATACTTGATTGTATTTGCCTTGATCTGGTGTGTTTTGTGACTTGTGAGCTGAGAAGTTCGGTTGCATTGGATTTCTGTTCTCTCCTGTAATCCTCATGTCAGGGCTGTGAACAAAAATCATCTTTTTGACGGTTAAAAACGGGGATTACTTGAAAAGAAGAATGAAATCTCCTCATGTTTCTAGTAAAGAAACTGACGCAATAGAAGTCATACCATACGGATGGAAATAAGACGAGCGAAATCCCCAACCCCATCCTAACTCCAAAGAAAACAGCCAGGAAATTGCCAGTTTTTCAGAGCTCCAGCAAAAACTGTCTCAAGATGGAGTGGCCGAGAAATAGCACGATTCGATCTCTCAAACACAAAGTGTCCTGATAAGGCGAATGTAAGGAGTTTTAGAGTAAAGATCTTCAGAGCAGTCATTTCCATATCGGGTACTTGGCGAAGTATGAATTGCGAATTTATCAAGTCACCTTCTAGCGCAAGAAAACTTTAATCATGTCACCAGATTCCTCTGTCCAATTGTCTGACCGAGGTTTGCAGCGAAGATTGAGTAATTGCCTTGCAAGACAAGATACACGGAACACATGATCTGCAGATATAATAACCTTGTATTGCAGTGATCTGAAAGCCCAACGTATTTGGAAGCTACAATCTAGTCAAATAACACAAGTTATCCCACCAAATTCAGATACAAAGCCATGGATGATTTTGGGAGTTTTGGACAAACAAATGCATCTCCGGAAAAGACACATAAATACAATGCGAAATCCAGCTCTTGTTTTTGATGATTACAGTTTTCTTGGATCAATCACATTCAGCTTCACTCAGAACGCAGACCGCGTAGAGCTACACGTTCGATATTTGAACCCGAATCACAATTAGTCCTGGTTTGCATCTTCGAGATCTTCATCCTCTGGGACGCCTCGAAGATACAGAACATTGTTACATCTGCAAAGAGGGAGCGAGCGTATATAAAAGAAGTGAAGCTTCTGAACACTGAGCTTAGTCCGCGAGAAAACTCAGAAACAACAATATTTACAATTATATAAGTCCCCAGCTTACCCAAGTAGAACAAAAAACAGAGTATATGTTGACCACCCTAAAGGGTCCACATGCAACACCAAGCAAAAGGAGGACTACTAAAGCATGCAAAGGCCACAGCGAAGGACAAACAAAATCACTCATCAAGAGATCGGTTTTACTGTCACTGTAATCTCTCGTTCTTGCTCAGGACAGACAAAATATAATAAACTTAAGCTTGCCATAAAGAATGACGAAGACTTCTTTTCTCCAGCATGGTGGGGAGTTACCTGATCAGAATCTCTCCCAGGCTTCCAGTGAATTGTCCATCAATGTATTCTTCTGTGTTGGCAAGCTGCACAAGTTTTCAGATTAAAGAAATCCTTCCGAACCATTGATAATTACCAGGAAGAGCTACCAAGCCCATGAAGTAAACCGGATATTCAACCATCATAAAAGAACGTATTTGCAGATCAGTCAGAAAGGACAAACCTGCAAATTCATGTAGGAATCCACTGAGACAAGAAAACCTACAAAACATATAATCGAAATCATAGTAGGTTAGTCAACAAAAGGCACACTTACATCAGTGATTGCAGATAAAGAAGCCCATCATATATTTATTGCAGGAAGTGCATAGCGATGAAGTTTCCAATCGGAAAAGTTCAGAAGATTGCTGGAATTACCTTTGTATTCCATGCCCCACTTAAGCTTCACAATAACTGGCTTCCCAGTCAAGTTGTTCAAGAAAGGTTTAGGATTAACTGGAATAGTCTGCAGTGTAAGGAAAACCAGTTATAAAGCGGATGAATACAGTAACCATCAATTCCAAAAGTTCAGCCACACTTGGTTGACGATCTCGGGAAGCATGGTATCAGTGGAAGCGCCTCAAAATGGAAGAAGCGAATTCAACATAACGTGGAAACAAACATCTTTTTTTTTGTTAACCTAACAAAGGCGGCAATTTCTATCCTTATTATTCTCTATTCGAGCATTTATGAATCTTAAAGTACAAATTTTTATCCAGAGAGAGAAGGGGGCAAACATATACTATATTAGAGATGAACCATGCGACTAAAGACTATATGGATGCGCGCGATTGAGAGGAAACCTACTTAAACAGCCATACATACTCCTCCGAAAGGTAAAAGAGAAATCACATGGAGCAAGATCTGAAGGACCTACTTTCCTTATCCTACTGCATCACTCCGTCTCTTCGAAACAGATATTCAATTCCCACACAAAAGATCAAGCATTCCGAGTGTTGCGGTTACAGTCAAAACACGAGTAAGAAAAAAAAAAATTTCTTCATAGAAACAGCTGAAAACTGACTAGTGTTTTCAATTCCAGCACGGCTTAAGACCTCCAATTTTCCGAAAGATCACGAAATTTCCCAACGAAAAGGGAAGCTTTCACCATGAAAAGAACCAAGCAATACCCATTACACTACAGCCTTAGATGCAATATACATCAAACTTCGAATGCACGAAGTCGACACAGACCCACCACAATGCACGCACCATGAGTCCATACTAGAGAAAGAAACGAAGAAAGAAAGGGGATTCAACAAGCGAATCGAAGTACTCACAGCCATCGGAAGAGAAAGAGGCAGAGGCTTCTTTTGGGGGCTCGCAGAGAATGGGAAAGGCGCGATCTTTTACCCCCCTTGGCTTTCTTCTCCGCTTGCAGCTCTGCTTCCCAATGGCGTGGCGGGGGTTTTCAGGCTACGTTAGGGTTTTGGAGCTCTGCTTTTCACCCTCGTTCGTTCCGCGGGCTGAAGAGATGAAGTTGGGTTGGGCTTTACTTTCAATTTTTCGCTGTTGGGCTGCTCAGTGATGATGATGTTGGTGAAATCAATATTTGTTAGGGCTAGTACCGCCGTAAATCCCAAATCGGTACACTTAATAATAAATTTACTCAAAATCAATTTTTTGACCATAAAAAATCCCGAACCGGTACACCCGTGACCCTATATTAGTTTTCGTTAAATTTTACCGTCAATTTTTTGCGTTGGATGACACGTAGCAGTTAATGGGTATACCGGTTTAAGGTTTTGCCTTCCGTTTGTCATAAGTTTACCAATTTTTTGATTTTTCGTGGCATTAATCCAATTTAACAGAGGATAAATTTGTCACAAATGTACCATTTTAGGGCTTTTGATGGTTAAAAAATTAGTTTATGGTAAATTTGTCACATATGTACCGGTCTGGATTTCTCGTGGTATTAACCTTTTAAAAAGAGGAGAAGGCTTTTTTTACTATTGAAGAAGAAAAAAGTTTTTTATTTTTATTTTTCTTCGGCTGATTATTTTTTTGGGTTGAAATTGGGTTTGTTTTAAGCCAACCCAGACTCACATCTAGTTGGTTTGTTTTTAGAACCTATTATGGCCACATCTTAAGTTTGAAGTGACTTATTTATGAAATATAATTAAAATATAGGTTTGTAAGCCATTTTGACAGTTTTAGTACGAAGGATCCCGGCTCCACGTCGGGACTAGGCCTCAACCTCGGAGGACTCCGGTCCAACCACTAAGCTCCCCTGACCCAGGCGCTAGGGTTCTGGTTGTAGGAATTGAGGTTTCTCATGCTTAGCTACTGGGAAGAACCTAGGCTCGAGTGCTGGTGACTATTGAGCATGGTAGCTGTGTCCCTAGGCAAGGACACTGGGGACCTAAGCACGCACATATGGATCTTGGGCCCAACCTTTATGGATCTTGGGCCCGGCCGCGAAAGGAATTAGGGTCGAGCACTAGTGACTTGTGTATGGAAGTCGGTACCAGGCAAAAGTGGTCAAGGACTCAGGGCATGGGCATTGGGGTCTCGAGCTCAGCTTTGAGAGTCCCAGGCTCGGCTTTTGGGACTCCACCAAGGATTGGCACAAGCGTCGGGGTTCCTGTGCCCGATTGCTGAGGTCTCTAGTTCAACTGTTGATCTCTAGTCGTATTTCAAATAATAAATTCTAATATTTTAAAAGAGAAAACTATTTTCTTAAATTTAAGCATAGATTTTCCGTTAAGGCTCCGTTCGTTTGGCGGAAAATATTCTAAAACATTTTCCAGGAAAATGACTTCCAGGAAAATATTTTCCAAAAGGAGAATATTTTCCGCCAAACGAACGGAGCCAATATGAAAAGATTTTCCGTCGACTCATTTTCCTAAGTAATATAATTAGAAAAATATTTTTTGATAGAATATTTTTCACGAAAGAAACAAAGCTTTACTAAAATACTAATCAATACAATACATTGCCCTACAAAAAAAATCCACTATTTAATGCTCGAATTAACATAAAAATATCCCAAGTCGTGTATCCTTATTTGCGATCAACCATGCGACTGCCGAACTATGTCCAAGTTAATTTCAAACAACTTATTATAATCCTTGCACCATCAAATGAAAAAAGAAAAAGACAAAGACAAAGAAACAGAAAAAGATGACAAGTCGACCGATCATATCTATGTGAAGAAACGCATCTTACAGGTTGTCGGTCTATCCTGGTTCTTGTATTGTTCTTCTATAAGGAATTTTTTTCAACACTCAAATAAGATTAGTTTCTAGAGATAAATTGTCTTTTTCTCTAAACCTGCCTGCATTAATTGACAAGGTCTTTCTCCTTCTAGAAAGTAAACAGATTTTTCAACATTATTCGCCAACCCTCTCAATGCAAACACCTTGCCTTAGTTTCCACAAGAAAAAGAGCATTTATTAAGGCGTGTTGTCATTTTCGCCTACCATATTGAATGCCAAAGACTTGATGGTAAAAGGCTTCAAGAATACGTGCCCGGTAGGGTCCTGAGAGCATTCTAAACATTACAAGCACAGCATGCAATTGGATCGACCGTTGTGCTTGTGTAAGAAGTTGACTATGGTAGCCATAAACGTGCCTAGCCAAACCCTATTTCTTCCAATAGGTCACTTGTGGAATTTGATATCCATTCAATAAGGTTTACACTTAACTTTTAGGTGAATGTGTGGCTTAATTTAGTTAATCCCCTTTAGAAGAGGACAACACTTGGGACGGGCAACATCGGTCTTGCCTCCTAACTAGCTAGTCATCCGTTCTCGTCGATGAAGGTAGATTAGAACTATGTCCCATGTCAAGAAAAGGAATATAAAAAGAAAACAAGCCGTATTATATAAATGAGGACGCCCCCGTGATCAAAATACATGCCCTCTCACGTCGCATCCCCTTTTGTGTATTTTAGTATAGATCCCATGGCTTTTTGTAAGTACGTTTTTTATTCGCATAGCCTTCATCGATAACTCTTAGCATTATATCACACTCTTACCATGTGATAATGACTAGCCATTGTCCGTCCGATATTAGCCAACTGTCTCCTGCTTGGACGGTAGTCATATGTTCCTATTGTTGGGGATCATACGGCACAAAAAGTGCTCAGGCCACCTAAAATATAACCTTAAGCTTGCAAATTCTTATCTTATTTTTCAGGAGGACCAAAGATGAGAGCTTTAACTTTTCGTAGCGCACTTGGGAAGTAGCTAGCTAGGCAACCACCAAATCAAAACCAAAGACCCTCTCTCTCTTTGATACCAAATGGATGATATGTTAGGCACCGATTTTGTACTTTTGAATGTATAGAATTCTTGGAGACATTCCATTTTCCTCTGCTTTATCAAAGGACGTGATAAGATGATGAACCAGAAAGTTGCGTCCCCTTTTGTGCCACTAGGCGATACCTGCAATGCACTATCAGAGAATTCGTAGACCAGGCAAGAATCTCTGCCGGTTCCCTAATTAAAACAGTAAAACCTCACGAGTTTGCATCAACATTGCCCCTTTTTGAAGGAACTAAGGATGGAGATTCTGCCACTTGACTATACGCATCAGGGGGGACACATTCATTTGCAGTATGAGCCACTAGCGTGTTAGTCAAGTCAGCAACTTGACGTAAATCAACTTTTACTTGCGAAAAGGAGTTTTAACTTCTACCATCAAAGAGCCAAAGCTAATATTGATGCCCCCAAAGGAGTCCACGCGCTTCTCTTAATCAAATTGATTAAAAAGAATTATATTATGTATGAGGACTTTTGGCACGTAAGGACCTCATTAGATTTTCCATTGACTCATTTTAAGTAATCCTAACGTCAATGAGAAAAATGTTTTTTAATGGAATATTTCCCACGAAGCAAAAAAAGCATAAAATACTAATTGTACATTGCCCTACAAAAAAATTCTTATTCTTTAATGCTAGAAAACAAAAATATCCTAACTGGTGTATTCTTACATGCGATCATGCATGCGACCGCCGAACAATGACGAAGTTGATCTAAAACAACTTATAATAATCCTCGCGCCATCAAATGATCAGAAAAAGAAAAAGCAAAAGACAAGAAGTCAACCGATCATGTCTATGTGAAGAAACACATCTTACCGTTAGCAGTACAAAGTTTAAGAGAATCGAGAGAATTCTGAAGAAAAGATTTTATGCAACTGATACATTTTCCATGCGCTGAGTACATGTATTTATATAAGAGATTACAAGCCGTTAGAATAAATTAAATTGAATTTACAAAATCAATCAAATTGAATTTACAATCCCTTGATCTTAGCACTTGCTTGTTATGTGAGATTCTTCCTTGACTTTAACACTTGTGTGATTTGATTTGATTTGATTCCTTGATTTGTGCCATTATCCTTAACAAGCGAGACTATCCTAGTTCTTGTATTGTTCTTCCTCTAATGAATTTTTCTAAGTACTAAGATAAGATTAATCTTTTCCCTCAAATTTAACTAGGCATAGAATATTATAAACTTTTTTTTTTATTCTCGAGAGGTAAATTGTCTTTTTCCCTAGACCTGCCTGCATTTATTCAGGGATCTTCCTCCTTCTAGAAAGTTAAACAGGTTTTTTCAACATGATTCGCCCCACCCTCTTCATTCAAACACCTTACCTTATTTCCAATAATATGTAAAGAGCATTTATTAAGGCGTCTTGTTATTTTCGCATACCATATTGAATTTCAAAAACTTTATAGTAAAAAAATACTACAAATAGAGGTCCCAAGTAGGCTCTTAATAGCATTATAAACCTTGCCGGCATAGCATGCAATTGGATGGACCATTGTGCTTGTATAAGAAAGTTGACTATTGAAGCCATAAACGTGTCTTGTCAAGCCCTATTCCTTCCAATAGGTCACTTATGAAAATCAATGTCCATTAAATAAGGTTTACACTTAGCTTTTAACTGAATGTGTGGCTTAATTAAGTAAATCCCCTTTAAGGTAGAACAACACTTAAGATGCACACCACCCGCTGGGTGGCGCCCACATCTAAACTACGCGCGCACTCTTCCTCTCGCAAAAGGTTGAGTATTCGAATCCCGGGCGCCGCAGGTGACTTAACCGGTGGCACGTGTGTGGTGGCTAGCACGTGTCGCCCCCTGGGGTTTACTCCTTAGCGTCGGCCGTGCGGGGTTCCCCGGGTTACCAAAAAAAAAAAAAAAAAAACACTTAAGACAGACAACTTCGCTCTTGCCTCCTAACTGCCTAGTCATCCGTTCTCATTGATAAAATATATTAGAACCATATCACATATTAAGAAACGAAATATAAAAAGAAAACAAGCCGTAACATTAGAACACCCGGTGATTAAAATATATGCCCTCTCACGTTGCATTACCTTTTGTGTATTTTAGTATCTTTTTGTAAGTACATTCGTTATTCGCATAGCCATCATCGATAACTCTAAACTTTATATCACACTCTCATAGTCCGTCCGTTAATAGCTAACTATCTCCTGCTTGGACAGTAGTCATATGGTTCATTGTGAGGGATCATATGGTACAAAAAGTACTCAGGCCACCTAAAATTTAACCTTAAACTTACAAATTCCTATCTTGCACTTCAGGAGCAAGAAAGACGAGAGCGTTAACTTTACGTAGCTAGGCAACAACCAAATCAAAATCAAAGACCCTCTCTCTCTCTCATACCAAATGGATGATATGTTAGGCACCCATCTTGTACCTTCGAATACATAGATTTCTTGGAGATTTTCCATTTATTCATCTTGATTTGATCGGATCATTTCCTCTGCTTTATCAAAGGACATGGCGAGACGATGAACCAGAAAGTTGTGTCCCCCTTTTGTGCCATTAGGCGATACCTGCAATGCACTTTCAGACGATTCGTGGACCAGACAAGAATCTCTGCCGATCCCTTAATGAAACAGTAAAACAACCTCACGAGGTTGCATCAAGATTTGCCCCTTTGTGAAGAAACTAAGGATGGAGATTCTGCCACTTGACTATACGCATCAGGGGGGGACACATTCATTTGCGGTATGAGCCACTAGCGTGTGTTTGTCAAGTCAGCAACTTGACCTACAAGAAACCCTACTTGCGAAAAGGACTTTTAACCTCTAACATCAAAACGGGCAAATCTGATATTGATGCCCACAAAGGAGTCCACGCGCTTCTCTTGATTTAAGTTGGTTGAACCGCAATGCTTGAACAAGTCAAGTTCTTTGCTGATTCGTGCAAAGAACTACTGTGTCGTTCTTGTTCAGAATGTTAACCTTGACTTGTTCATGCATTGCATCTACATGGAAAAAAAATTATGTTTTGTGTGAGAGCAATTGGCACGTATGGATCTCATCAATGTGCATGCCATGTACAGAGACATCACAAACAATGAAATGCTCCAATTCTCTGTTATACAGAGTAATTGCTGTAAAAGTTTTTCTTCCTGATGTTGTAGTCAGGTTTCATCCTAGGTTAGATTCGCGCACCATACCTAAAACCGAGCATGTATTTGAGCAAGGGGATGGTTGGAGACACTTGTGAGTCATGCGGCATAGAAAGTCATCATTCTTCCATATCGGCTCAAACCATTATCACCTTGCTTTCACAGTTAAAATTGAAGTTACAATTGTAAATGAGTTCCTAAGATACTTAACCAGGTGATGTGCAGGATGGTATTTCTTTTGCATGATTAAACACTTCCTTATACGATGAATATTGGTACTCTGTGGCTTATTTTATACCATTAGTTACTAGGTCTAAACGCATACTCTCTCTCTCTCTCTCTCTCTCTCTCTCTCTCTATCCTCCTTCTAGAAACCATTGACAACGAAAGGGCCAAAGAGAATAGTCATTAGTCCAGACAATCTCTCACCCTAGACATTATAAGCTCAAACAAAAGTTTCCGCTAGGAGCTAGGTATGGCATTGCATTATGATAAGCCCAAGAGCAACTACATTATGTTCTGCGTATATCAGACAAAATACCCTTCCTTGCCCGCCGTATCTCTCTCTCTCTCTCTCTCTCTATCTCTCAATTCTGAATTGGTTATCATCTCCAATGGCATAACCAATTAACCATACACTGTACCACTCTACCTCTTCAAAACTCACCTCTTTATAATCTTAAATTCTCCATCGATCTCATTCACACTATCATCCCCTTTCACTTCCCTCTTCCCTCTTCCCTCTCTTTCTCTCTCTCTCTCTCTCTCTCTCTTCCATGGCAGAACATCAACTTCTTCCGCCAGACGACCCAGAAGAAGCGGAGGAGGCGCTCTCTCTCTGCGACCTCCCACTCCACGACGAACCTGAACCAGAGACTTCGGGCGACTTCCCCACCCACCACCACCAATCGTCGTCGGACGTGCCAGAGTTCTTCGAGTTCTTCAGCGACTTCAGCTCTGACATGTGCTCTGCGGACGAGGTCATCGTCTGCGGCAGGCTAGCGCCTTTCTCCTCCAAGCAATCTCTGACGAAGATGACTTCCCAGGGAACAGCGAACGGAGAAGAAAGTGAGCTAAAACTTGCGTTCTGGCGGCGATCGGAGTCGCTGTCCAAGTTGCAGAGCTCCGTGGCCCGATCGAACAGTGCCAAGTTGAACCTCACCAGGAATTGCAAGTCTCTTGATTACAGCAAGCCGAAGCCAAATCAGTCGCCTCTGGTGCTTCATTCGCATGAGGCGACGAGGAATTCGCTGGCGAGAAGCGTAGCGAGATCAGATTCGCTGGCAAAGAGGACTACTGCGTCGAGGCCGCGGTGGTACGTGCTCACTTTCGGGCAGGTGAAGTTGCCGGCAGAGATGGAGCTCCGGGACATGAAGAGCCGGCAGTTCCGGCAGAGCCCATCGGCAATGCTGTTCCCAGCACCGGGGGACTCCGGGGAGGGGAAGACTCAGGCAAGCACTGGCAGCGGCGGGAAGGTGACGTGGAAGGTGCTGAGAGCGCTGAGTTGCAAGGGTCATGCAAGCGTCGCCGTGACCGCGTCTTTGGGACAGACACAGCGTTGGCAAAAATACGTAGCGCAAAATTGAAGTAATATTGGCTAAACTTCTGAGTGCTCGTATTTATTGCCGGCTAATTATCCTTTCTCACATCCTATAGTATAAACATAGTACCCATAATCCATATTTTCAGAATATTAGCTTGTTGACGTGCTACACATCTCCCCTACCCGCATAGGATTGAACAATTTCTCATTGTACTGAATTTTCAAGCAGTTTCGTAACTGTGGAGAGCGAAACTAATTTCTGTAAGACAAAAGAACGTATGATATGATATGTGCAGTACATTCAAAGAAGATATGCTTTCGAGTCTCGAATCGAAATGTTGATGCTTCCACCATTAAAAGTGACAGATACAACGTGACTGTCTTAGTTTTCTGGTTTTGTGGCGATCCTGCTTGGCTTCTCTCTTCCGATTCATACGACAGCAGCGAAAAAGGCGAAACGAGCAGTCGCCGGCCAGCTAGGGAAAAGCGAGTCTTGTTTTTTCTTGGAGGAGAGAATGGCGATGGAGGGAGAGCGCAGACTTGACGTAGAAGGGAAGGCAAGAGGACAGCGAAGGTTGAAGAACAAGGTCGATGATGTTCTTGGGGGAGCCAATTAAGGTTTGGCTGAAGAAACTGTAGGAAGGAGATAGCAGCAACATCATGAGGATCCCCGAAGGTGACATGGGATATATTTTCATTTTTATTCATGTGTCGGCGTCATCGGTAGTCATATTAGTTGGTACTTCTTTTTGGGTTCCTTGTAATTTTTGGGTGGATGATGATGCAACACTAGGGTTTCGATAATATCCGTCAATATATAAATTATAGTATAGTCGTCACTTATTTGTCACTTACATGTTTGTGACTATATACGTGCTCGGGGCAAGTCTCGTCGAAGGATTGCCCGATCAGAAGAAGCATGCATTGAAAGCAAACACAAGCATGACTTAGACAATGACAAGTATAAAGTTTTCTTTTACTTTTGATAAGTGATTTCGTTCCATTAGTAGATGAGAGTTTCTATAGTGGGATTATTTGTGTTAAAAATATTTTACATGACCGGAGTATCTGACGTGAAATCTAATATTTTTTCTTCGTTACATTGTTTATCTCTTAATTTCCTCATTGATCGGGCTCGATTTACCTCATTAATTTATTTGCTGGACCTAAAATTGCGAACCTAGGTCTGTAAAACAATGACAAACCTACTTCGGCAAGAGTGTATGGAGGTATTTAGAATATTGGGAAAATTATCAAAAAAAGTTATGAACTTATTGTATGCCAATTCGGTTTTGAACCTTTTAATATTATCAATTTAGTCTTTAACTTTTTAACGATTTGCCAATGTAGTCCTTTCAGCTAATTTTGGCTGGCAATGGCTGACGTGGATACCGGCCATCCTACATAGCACGACTGACGCTGACGTGAACAATTTTTTTGCATTTTAAAATTTTTTATAGTTGCCCTTGCCAGATCAGCTGCAAAAGGGCCAAAAAAGTTGTTAACCCTTACTCGCATAAAGCCGGCAAGGGTTGACCTTCACAGCTTCGGGAGAGTTTGTCCCTCACTAGATCTCGACCTCGTTGGCCCTCGATTATGGTAGTTCGCCGGCTATGGCAACCGGCAGAGGAAGAAGGAAAAAAAAGAAAAAGGAAAAAAGGAAAAATTCAGAAAACTTATAAAAAAAATTCAATAGAATTGTTCACGTTAGCGTCGGTTGTGTCACGTAGGACAGCCGGCGTCTACGTCAGCGGTTGCCGACCGAAATTGACCGGAAAAATTATATTGACAAATTATCAAAAGATTTAGGACAAAATTGGTTAAATTAAAAAGTTTAGAATTGAATTGACATCCGTACAATATGTTTATGACTTTTTTTGGTAATTATCCCTAGAATATTCATGAGCGACCCTTGAGAAGGATTAGACGAAAAGGAAATCAAATCGAATTTACTAAACATTGTCAAATCAGAACAAGGGTAGCGCCAGCACAAACATGAGCAACATCGATCTAAACCATCATCGACGAAACCCAAAAATGACCAACTTTTGTGCGTAGAATCCAAGACCGCGTACCCCGATCGAGAGAGCTAGGGTTAACAACTTTTTTTGGCCCTTTTGCAAAGGCTACAAGAGATGGCTGTTTTCTTGTAAACTTTCGTGTGTAGAATCCAAAGACCCTATGCCCCTCTTGCCCATAGTTCTTCTCAATTCCTGTTATTATTACAAAGCCTCGCCCTAGAGATTGACTAGACTTCGATTTGTCACATGCAGACATGTCCTGATCTCCAATAACAATCGCACAGTCGATCGCAGGCGCAAATCACGATGGATTGTGTCATGATGTATGGAGGGAGAGCGAAATGGCAGGAGCTAAAGATAATAAAACAGGATGTCTAGGCGGCTAAAGACCAAATCCTCGTGCAAAATGACGGACATAAGATGACGAAAATTTCGAGCACTATCGCCCGTCCATATCTGGTGATATAAGCCCGTTTGTAAAATAATATTTCGTAGTTAATAGAATATAGAGCTAAATCTGGACTTGTAATGACCATTACATGTAGATTTGACGTTAGATCCGCCACATCTTTCACTCCTCGAGCTACGCATGAAAAAGTTCGTGCCAAAATGTCATTGATCCACCATGTTTTTCTTACGGAAACAAGCATGATCGACGAGAATCGTGCATGGTCGACAAGGATGTCAATCGATCCATCATTCATGAATTCCTGGATCGTCTATTGCACCCTAATGTAATAGATGTGTTGCTTGCAAAATTTAATTCGGGGACATATATAGGTTGATAAAAAGAATCGAGGGTTCCTATGGCTCGGCGATTAGCCGTTAAACAACTAAATGGCCTCGGCATTTTCTTCACAAGATAACTTAATTGGTCCGTCGACGAGTGCTAATTACTTTTCGAGACGTGAGAAGTTAAGAAGGTCTCTGAATGTGACTCCTCAACAAGAAGAAGAGCAAATTCTGAGCATTTCTTCTGGGACCTCGAAAGATCTAATCATGGAATGGACGTGGCATCCTCTTTCCGGAAGATATTGCTTTCAAACTATACCCACCCATGGGTAGCTCAGTTGGTTAGGGCGTACTTGGGATTGTGTGGTTAGGCGTACTGATCCGAGGTTCGATTTCCCAGCTGAGCACTTGTGATTTAAGTGGGGGGCCATGACGGTGGGTTGCTGTGCTAGTCTCTCCCGAGGAATAGTCGAGGTGCGCGCATACTGGCTCGGACACCTCGGTTACCAAAAAAAAAAAAAAACTAAACCCAAATGCCTCTACTAATTAAAGAAGTCTACTCTAATTAATTTAGCTATAGTGTGGTTTTTTGAATAATCTCGTTATTATTATTATTTAGTTATTAGAAACGACTGCTTAGTGGAATGAGATACCCAGTCTTTCTGCTCACCACCTGATCAATTTGATTAATGGAAAATGCTAACGTGATATTTTTAAATTTTTTCTCTATCTTACGTCAATTTTTTTATTGTTATTATTCTCTAAATCTTATTTAAAAAAGATTAAAAAACTAAAAATGCTAAAATATTATTTTAAAAGAACTAGAAAAAAATAGACAGAATGGCAAGAGGCTGGTGGGGTGCCATTGCCGCCCATCACTAGAGGGGCCAGCAACCTAATTAGGTGGCAGATTCGCCAGACCTAAGCGAGGCCTTGCCAGCCCCAGGCGAGGGTCAGCGAGGGTCGCCCAAATATGGGCACTGGCCCTCTATTGGGCCTGGCGACCCTTGCTAGATTTGGGCTCGGTGACCAGATTTGGGTGAGGTAAACTTGGGTGAGCCTCACCGGCCCTCGCTTAGGGCTATCGAGTCGGCCACCCTTGCCTAGGGCCAGCGGGGCGATGGGCGGCGGCGGCGGCGGCACACCACCAGCACTTACCATTCTCTCTCCTTATTTTTTTTTCAGTTTTATTTTTTACAAAAAAATTTAGCCTTTTCAAGTTTTTTAATCTAATTTAATAAACATTTAAAGAAAAAATAATAAAAATGCCACACACGTCAACACATTCCGTTAGTCAAATTGATAATGTTAACGGAAATGCTTGATTGCACTTTTTGAAAGTTGTAGGACTCAATTGTAATTTCGCGACAAGGTTTAGGACTTTTAATGCATTTATGTCTAAAAAAAACAAAGCAACTATATACACATGGACCAGATGATTCTATCGCTTCGTTCGAAAAAGAATGTGTCGGTAAATTTCTAAAAGAAATGGTAGGTGTCCGATATTATTAGTAAAACAAATCGCTCATCTCCCGATTCTCGATAACTTGGCGACTTACAAACACTTCAATAAAACTACTGACTTTTTAGACAATTCAAAAATTATTAACCTCCTTTTAATATTTCGCAAACTTTTATTTGTCTTTTCTATCGGCGTCTTAAATTTACCAACTCTCATAGGAATTTACCCAAACCTTTCTTCGAGTGACTTGCCAACTCTTATTCGATTACCCTACCAACTAATTTCGAATTACCAACCTTTATTTGGGCTCATCTCACGGCCTAGCCGAAAGCAAAGGGGCAACTTTTTACATTTTCCGATCAAAATTTTAAATATCATCGAAAATTCAAAAACTCACAAGGAAAATCGTACCTAAGCATTCGTGCTAATATTTGTACTTAAAAAAATATTTAAATTTGCTAGGCTTAAAAAAAAAAATTTAAGTGCGTAAGCTCCGAAATTTTTGATTAATTTGAATATACACGGACCTTAGCATAAAGTCCCATGCTTAGGGAAGATTTCATATTTCATGTTCGAGACATGAACATACGCCGTAAATCTTTCTTGGCAGCGAAACAAATGACGCCGGAGAACCTCCTCCGCCGTCCCCGGCCCGCCCCGAAGTGCACCACCGGCTGCCCCGTCCTCGACCGCTGCCTCGGCGGCGGCGTCCCCTGCCGCTCCGTCACCGAGGTCGCCGCCGAGAGCGGCTGCGGCAAGACCCAGCTCTGCCTCCAGCTCCTCCTCTCCGCCCAGCTCCCGCCCTCCCGCGGCGGCCTCTCCGCCTCCTCGCTCTACCTCCACTCCGAATTCCCCTTCCCCCTCCGCCGCCTCCGCCAGCTCTCCCGCGCCCGCCCCCTCGGCCCCCGCCACGACCCCTTGGAGTACATCTTCGTGCACCCTCTGCAGTCCGCGGACCACCTGCTCGACGTAATGCCCAGGATGGAATCCTTCGTGGAGAACTTCAAGAGCCAGTTCCCGGTTCGGCTTATCGTTATCGACTCGATAGCGGCTTTGTTCCGGTCGGAGTTCGACAATAACCCGCTTGATCTCAAGCGGAGGTCGTCCATGTTTTTCAAGATCTCGGGGAGACTGAAGTTGCTGGCCGAGAAGTTTGATCTCGCGGTTGTGGTGACGAATCAGGTGGTCGATGTGGTCGCTCCCAATGAGGGGATTAACGGGCTGAGGATTGGGAACTTGGGGTGCTTGGAATCATCCGGGAGACGGGTTTGTGCCGCGCTGGGTCTGGCGTGGGCGAATTGCGTGAACTCGAGGCTGTTTTTGTCGAGGGATGAAGAGATTGTTAGTACAGTGAATGACATGAGGGATGAGTGTGGTTGTGAACGGATGCATTGCGGAACAAGGAGAAGACTCCATTTGCTCTTTGCCCCTCACATCCCTGATACATCTTGTGAATATGTGATTACCAGAGAGGGAATTTCTGGGGTTTGCAGATAACTCTTGGTCCCTGTCTGTACAGTCTGAGCTTCTGCCGGAGGTAAAACTGACACAGTTTTGGTCAGACTTTACTCTACTGAAGTGGAAAATGAAGTTGCTTGCTTTGATCCTTTTTGCCAACTCAAGTATATTCGGGTGTCTACTGGTCTTTTAAGAATGACAACAACATTCTCAGTTTGATGAGTTGTCTACCAAACTTGTTTTACTCATCCTAGTCCAAAGCATGTTTCCACGGAACCAATTGCTTAAAGGATGGTTGGTTCGATTTACGTTTATTGTTGTCCATCGTTTTTAGTACACAAAACTGATTGACGTATTCTGTGCCCAGATCCATTCCTTCTTAGTCGTCTAGTTTTAAGAATTACTATCGTCTCTCATACTTAAAATATGAGAGACATTTTATCCAGGTTTTGTGGCCTAATATGAAATCATACGGGATAAATTAAGTGGATAGAACATTGAAAAAGGAATTCTCCTGTGAACAGAACTAGATAGAACATCAACGAGGAATTCACCTTCAAGGAGCCGAATAAGAACAGAGATAATAACAACTATCCAGGTAAAAGAACAAAAAGTCAAAAGCGTGTGAGTTTGTCATGATAGGAGAGTGCGTTGAGGGTGCACTTCCCTTTGATGTTCTTCTGCTGATGTCACAAACCGTCACTCATTGATCCTGTTGTCTATGTTGACTGCCATTTTTGCTATGATCTCCTCCCTATCTCTCTCTCTCTCTGCTGCTTCACATATGGGTGGACAATGGATTGACACTGCTTATAAGGCTTCTTAATTATTATTATGGGGAATGGCATAAATCATGAGCAATTAGTTATCAACTGATGACAAGTTTTTCGACGAGCTTTTCGTCACTTGTTACCTGTCAATGAAGAGCTTCTTCTCACTAATTACCAACTAGTGGGAAGGCTCTATTCATTAAGTTAAGCTTATCTTTTCTTATTTTCTTTCGGCAAAAAGACAGTTTATATTTGAGACATTCAATGTGTCTTAAATTATAACTGGTCTTATATGATTTCTCTACAATGTCATCATGTGCAAAACTTGTCATCAGTTGAAGATAGAGCTTTGAGAGCCTGTCCCATGGAATTCCTAGGATGCAGAATCCACTTCAGGTGACAGTTAATGCGCGAGGCCGAGGCATTCAAGTCAGCGATGGCCATGGTCATGCAATGTTGGGCCATCTCTCCAACTGGGGACTCCATATCAAGAATCACCCCAGCATGAACGTGATCAAGACAATGATGACGAGTGTTTTGTGCTATCGACCAACCAATGGAATGGAAGGCATGTAAGATCGCCGACAAGATGAAAATGTGTGCAAATCTCTCCAACTTCATTGTCAATGCAGACATATATAAGAATATCGGTATCTCTTGTAGTTAATTTTGCAGAAGTAGTTAAAAATAGAGCAGGAGGTACAAGAGTGACATATTCTTATTTCAAACATCTTCAAAGTTCTAACAAAAGTTCGCTCTTCATCCCTACAGCTAGAAAATCCTAAGAAGCTTCAAAGTTCCTTGCCGCGTGTAAGCACCATGATCTTAGTTGGTATCTACATCATCTGAGGACCTCACACTTTATTCCGATTCAATAGGAATATCTTCTGATGTGTTTGGAACTGGTTCTTCTTGATGGGATATCACCAACCGGTGAGAACTTCTCTTCAACAGTTTGATTAGCAACCTCGTGTTGTTGTGCAGTTGTCGATTCTTTCTTCCTAACTCTATAGGATACTAAGACAGCTACAGTCGAAGTGATGCCTGTGATAAGAAGGAGACCGCGAAAACTGTACAAGTCAAGTCTAGCAACTTTTGTTGAAGAATCTTGATTTGTGAATAAGGAATGATTTTGAAACCAATATTGGCTTATCAAGTAAAGTTTTCCATCTTCTCTCAATTTTGCTATTGATGCAGAAGTGTCAAGGACTAAGGTTGACCCCTTACGAAAAGCCTGCATAACAGGGCCTAACATTATTAATTGGATCGATCCAATATATTCACTTAACTGTATAGAAAAAAAGAGACTTACAAAGCCAAATCCATTGGTGCTGTCGTATGGGGGCTCAACCATGGTGTATTGAGCAGAGTACTTGGAAAGAAAGAGCTTCACATATGGAATTTCATCAATAATTGCTGAGACGCCACCATTCTGGCTTCCATCTCTCAGAAAATTTGCATAATCGTCAACCGTTTGCAAAGAGGGAATAGAGGTTTCTTTGGAGGATTGACCGATCAGAACTATCTTATTAAGCGGACTATTGAAAGGGACACCGACAGATTCGCTCTTTGGCAAGGACTGAATCTGACGAACTGTTAGCATTGAGCTCAGGTTTGCAGTGTAACTGGAAGTTAGTATTAGAACTACAAACAGCCATACAATCACCACAACTTTGGACAAGTTGCTCATTAATTTTTCCCCTGCAAATCATGAGATGACAATTTAGCCTCGTACTATATCAACTCACACCGTTATTGTACAGCAGAGTGTAAATATCCACTAGAACCGACGGGGCGTATTCCTTCTGCCTACTATCAATGGACATTTATTTGCTTCTTTTTGCCCTGAAATTTGGGTTTAATTCTAAGAACTGTATTGCTGGAGAAACCTTGATCTTGAACTCAGTTGATCTACTAATCATAAGAAATTTTAAAGCAGGATATGAACAACGAAAACATATAGAGGGAGTTCTTACATTGTGGAAAAACTAGTGTCGAGAATGAATACCGCATCACTTTCCCAATTTGATGAGCTAATGGTCCCTTGAACTCACTGTCGTCATTGTGCTCAATTGTCCACACTACCCATCCTGTGAAGACAAAGAAAGCGCCTATGACTAACCATAGATTCACGTCGAGAGGCAGTAGAAATATCCACATGCTCTCGTTTCGTGTTGTCTCAATAGGCACGATCATCCCTACTCCAGCTTGTGTGAAAGGCATTGTGAAGTCCACATACGACGATCTATCTGCTGTGATGGTCATGTCTCCCACGGCTGCATCATATTGCTGGTGCACATTTCCAAGGGGACCCAAAAGAAATGGTAAGTACATATCGTAAACAATGCATATAAGCATACAAGCACATACACTGGCAAATACACTCCAGCACTTCCTTCACCCTGCGTCATTCAATTTCTTTTGTTGACATTCTTTTCCCCCAGATGTATATAGAGTAAGCGAGTTGTTTCAGGTATCGACAACTTGATAACGATGATCCAGATGATGCTCAGTATAGTGCGAAACATATTAAACAAGTACTGTCCAAGAGTAATCACGTGAAAGAAATTTGGCTACAAGAAGTTGTCATTTTTGCATGCACAGTTATGTAATTATGTAAATAGAAATTCATCTTGCCTGTACTGCATCTTAGACTGGCTATTTATTTCCACATAATAAAATGAAAAGGAGTATTGAAAGGGGAAGAATTGATGGACTATAAGTTTTGTCTATATATTTTAAGCTCTTTTGTTAAATAAACCAAATGTAATGTTTATGTACTTGGACGTGCTATTTATCTGGTGTCAATCTTGCATGGAAGCAGAAGATGTTATTTTGTGGTTGCACACACTTGAAAAAAAGACAATCCTCAAGGTATACTGGGTTCATTCAAGATCACCTGACGGTATACTTGGTATATCATATCGTCATAACCGCTTTGAGACGGAATGAAGTCAAATTTTACTTCATAAGGCAACAAATCGATTGCAGCCTTGAACACATCTATGCAAAAGCCCGTTACCGTTGTCGCATTTGTCTCAGGATCGTGTTCCACTCCCACCATTTCTTTAAAACCTACTCTATCTGGAACTACGATTCTCAATCTCTTCCCAGCCTTTGACATAACCCGTTGACCTTTTGGTATAGCCAAGGATGATCCAGGCCATCTGATAGAGCCCATTTCTCTCACAGAGGTTGATTGAGTTGCAATATTAGACCTATTTAGCCCTGTCGTTATCCCATTACGTTGGGTCCATAATCCGAATCTCTCGACTCTTCCGACAACATTCACTATTTCAAATGCTACTGGTTGTTGCAGCTGCCCATTCTTAAGTTGAATTTCCCCACTCAAACCCGTGAACTTGATTTGTAGAATCGTGCGGACTAGATGACGAAGCTTATTTGCAGAATCAGGCTTCCGCATCGAAGTTATAGGACCTAAATGATTTGCTGCTTTGGCTAAAGCCCAGACAGAATCATATGCCCATAAGCAATATACATTTATATCAGGAATTTGATGATGCTGGTTTGTGAAAAAATCGTTCCTCCACTTCAATGAGAAGTCGTGAAGCCGCGCTGAGGGTGGAATATAAGGTCTAATTCCGATCACTCCTCGCATCGAGTCTAAAACCGACCGATCCATCACAGGCAGCTCGTTTACTATCCCATCAGTCACAATCCAACCGTAACCTGCACTCATCATTCCCAACTCGTTAACCTTAAAGAAAAACCGAGATGCGAGGGAAGCAGACATGTGGACAACGAATATATTGGCAGACAGAGCCATCAGTTTATAGAGTTGGGCTTCTACATATATGTCCCTGGCTTGTGGTGGAACGATAGTTCGATGCGCTACACGAACATTGCCTTCGTCTAATGCGAGAAGAAGATCGGGTATGATTCCGTTTCCATAGGAACTGTCCTCATGTATTATAACTAATTCTCTCCACCCGAATCTTTGAACTAGAGCAGCAATGGCTCCAACCTGGGAGTTATCATTAGTCGTCATTCGGATAAAGTTTGGATTTTTGTCTCTGGACAAGAAAGGGCTACTAGCAGAAAAGGAGATGATAGGCACTCTATCTCCCAATTCCGCCAGAAGCTCAGCTTCTTCAGATGTTTGTGGGCCTATCAGTACGTCAACTTGTTCATTCTCCAAAAGCTCCGCAGCTGCTCCAATGGCAATAATCAGATCAATTGTAATCACAAGTACCAGATGGCAAGTCCTCTCTCGTCTAGCTAAGCGCCTACTCACAAAAAGAAAATTTTCGCTACCTCACACATACCATTACTCACCTTCTTACATAATAATATGTGATTGTGAACCTCATCATATTTTTCAGCACTGTGATTGTTTTATTTAATGGCATCATGAATGCACAATATAATTTCCTTTTTCCCAGTTTGCGTTGCTTGAGCGTGGGTATGTGCAAAAAATGACTGAGGCGGAGAATTGATGAGAACTCACCCGACGATAGAGCTTTGAGAGGCTGTCCCATGGAATTCCTAGGATGCAGGATCAACTTCAGGTGACGGTTAATGTGCGAGGCCGAGGCATTCAAGTCAGCGATGGCCATGGTCATGCACTGTTGGGCCATCTCCCCAACCGGTGACTCCATATCAAGAATCACCCCAACATGAACGTGACGATCATGACGATGACGAGTGTTTTGTGCCATCGACCAACCGATGAAATGGAAGGCGTGTAAGATCGCTGACAAGATGAAGATGTGTGCCAATCTCTCCAACTTCATTGTAAGCTGCATATTCCCACAAAGTTTGGAGCCTAATATCTATAGCAAGTTTTGATGATTGGTAATGTTGATGAGTCGTCTTCTGGAAAGTCAAGGCCCAAGTCTCCGGCAAGTGTCCTGCGAAATATCTGAAGCCCAATGGAAAAGTTGGAGAAATTTCTCAAGGTCTCAACGGTTTGTTTGAAAGCTTAATTAAAGTCCGCCACGCTATTTTTTATATGATTAACATCACGAAAAACCTAAAATCGTTATATTTATGACAAATTTATCAAGAATTAATTTTTTGACCATAACAAATCTCAAATTGATACACCTATGACAAATTTACCCTGAACTAATTTTTTGACCACAAAAAACCCTAATCTGGTACACTTATGACAAATTTAACCTCCGTTAAATTGGATTAATATCACGAAAAATCATAAATTAGTAAACCTGTGAAAATCCCGAACTAGTACACCTGTTAAATATCACGTGTTATCCAACGCAACAATTTGACCGTAAAATTTAACGGAAACTAACGGAGGGTAAATTTGTCGCGGGTCTACCATTTTGGGGTTTTTGGTGGTCAAAAAATTAGTTTTGGGTAAATTTATCACAAATGTATCGATTTAGGATTTTTCGTGGTATTAACCATTTTTAATAAGTTAATTCAGGATACTAGTCTCAATATGTCTAGCATTCCTCTTAACACTTTACGATTTCACTAATTGTTGTGGCTAACTTTTTATGTCTCGCTCTTGAACTCATTTATGGCTTCGTTTGTTTCACGGAAAATGAATGATTTAGAATGCATCTTTTCTAAAAATGATTGCTTGTATACAACAATAAATATTTTTACTGTCTATGAAAATGTTTAGATGTAAATTATTATCGATAATGAAAACGTTTGGTGTTGGCTAATAATTTCAAGCGATACAAGTGATCATTTTTAGGAAAATGTTTTCCAAATTATTCATTTTTCATGAAACAAACAGAACTTAAGTGTATGTTTGTCCTCTAATCAAATATCAGAAAGCTTTCTTGCTTCCCGTAGTAGATAATTTCTATAGAGATTTGTAAGTTTCTAACGTTGATGGTAAAAAAAAAAAATGTGACCAGCACATAGTGATTTTTCTAGAGACTTTTTAGTGATTTAACAACTTTTATATGAATTCACCGACACTTATTTGATTTGTTGTCGATTTCCAACTTCTCTAATAATTTACCAACTTTTATTTGTGTAACTTACCAACGTTTTATACTTATCTTTTCTTATGAAATTACCAACATAAGGAATGAAAGCCCAATAATATAAGCGAGAAATAAATGCAGAACGAAACTTGACATAAAAGGAAAGATTGAGGAGATATTCCACTATAATCAAGGTGAAAGAGAATATAATCGTTCGAATCGCAAACCCGTTCAAGTGTTTCTTTACCCCGATTACACCCGATTAAGCCACACAAAAATTGATGTTTTATTTGGTCCATGCTCGTCCAGACATCCCCCCGAAGAGGACCGACTGCCCAAAATCCTCTTAGCCAAATTCTGCTTTACTCTCTAACACAAAAATAGTTCTTAACTTCTTTTAAAAGATCCCAAAATGAGGAAACAAATCAACTACTAAAAAATAGGGTTAATACCACGAAAAACCCCAAACCGGTACACCCGTAACAAATTTACCCTCCGTTAGTTTCCGTTTAATTTTACCGTCAGATTTTTGAATTGGATGAGACATGACAGTTGGCGGGTGTACCCGTTTGGGGTTTTACTCTTAGTTTGTCACAGGTATACAAGTTTGTAATTTTTCGTGATATTAATCCAGTTTAACGGAAGGTAAATTTGTCACACTAGTTTATGATTTTTGGTGGTCAAAAAATTTAGTTTGGGGTAAATTTGTCACAGGTGTACCATTTTGGGATTTTTCGTGATATTAACCCTAAAAAATATCTCTTCCGTATGCACTTACCAATCTCCATAACCGTTAGAATTTTAGTTTGAATGAATGTAAATTGTCGCAAGATAAAAAAAGTTTAATCTAAATTTGAAATATACATATACAAGAGACTTGTGGACTAAAAGTTCTAAAAGTTATTTCGACTCATCTAAGTTAACATTTTGTTCGTCATTTAGTAGTGTACCTGTCAGTATTTATTTTATAGCTATGGACTTTATTAGAACTTAATAATAGGAACTCGAGGTTGAAAATTTTACATCAACGAGAGATCATCAACAGATGTTTCTTTCCTCTCCTATCGGCCGGCTAGAATATAGAGCATCATTAGAAATCAAATCCACCGATCGAGCAGCCAAGAAATCAACATGCTAAAAGCTTTAATGAAATTAAATTCTATCTGTAGAGCTCACTTTCCATTATTTTCGAGAAATTTTTCTGTGCTCTCGTGTTACAAAATCTCTATCCATCCAAATTAATCATCTATGCTAAGTAATAATTGGCTTGAGAGCACTAGGCTTGAGTGGACGGAGGACTTACAAAATACAAAACTCATGCATGACTTTGGAGGTACTTGCAGAAGTTTCAGCACTTTGTTATCCTAATTATTGTGAAAACAAGCGATCGAATAATAAAATAAATAGAATAATAAAATAATTCGGACACTAGATTTACGTGGTTCGGTAGAAATGACCTACATTCACAGGAAGAGCAACATAAAATTGCAATATAGATCAAGCGATATAATGAAAATTACAACAATATTTGAGTCATTTAAACATTAATTGTTTCTTAACCTCTAATTACAGCTAATAACTTATACAGTATTTAGCAACACAATTCCTAAACGAATTTACCTATCTATTGCACAAATGAATTAACAAATTTTACCACAAGATTTAATCGGCTTTCAACACATAAATCCTTGGTGAAACTCCAAGGACAAAACCCACGAAGATAAGCCACTGCCAAGCACTCGGTGAAACCGCGCTTCAACCAATTCTTGCGGCCAAAAATTGGTTCTATAAAAGAACAACTTGCAGGATAGTCCAAGTTGACCGAATCAATGCTCAAATCAAAATCCATGTCCATATACATAAGAAAATCCAAGTTGACTGAGTCAATGTTCAAATCAAAGTCCCCGTTGGACTTTCCAATTTGAGAACAAAGACTTCCAATTCATATACTGAAATTGCCATGTGCTCCAACAAACTTGTGACCAAATACAAGGTCCAAGATTGACTTTCCATTATTGATCGTCACTTCAACACACAAACAATTTCCGTATTTTCTGCCTACTTTATTCGGGTTGGGATTCGTCTAATATGCTCAAACTCGAGATATATTTTAACACTAATTATCTCTGTTTGAGCGGAATGAAAATTGTACCGTTATGACTAATTTGCGTGTATCCAAAAAGTGATAGGTTGCAGTATAAATAAGATTGCCTGTCACTTTACTCTGCCCAATTGATTTGCCATTTCTGAGATTGTTAAGGCCTTACCCCCACTGGATTGGTCTTGTGGGCTTTTTGCCTGTTATAGGACGCATAAAATTTTCATGTTAGATTGTTCTGTTAAATGCTAAATAGAAATCAACCCTTAGCGTTCGTTTATTTCACGAAAAATATGATGTTTCTGAAAAATGTTTTCCAGAAAGTCGTTTTCCAGAAAGTCGTTTTCCAAAAAAATGACAATATTTTTCGGTCTTTGATTGAAACCTGAAAATGAACTAGAAAATATTTTTCGTAGTTTGGTATGGAAAATCTGATTTGATGGTGTTCTTTTCATTGACGAAAAATATTTTCCTTAACTAGTTTATTTTCTGTTAACCGAATGCCGGAAAATCCGGAAGACTTTTCCCTAGAAGTCGTTTTCCGTGAAACAAATGAAGCCTCAATTGAAATGATAAAACAATAAGGAATGTTCTTGTCATTTCTTTGCCCCTGTATTGAGAAAAATAAAGCTTTAACATGCATAAGAATATTGGCATTTCTTACTGTTAATTTTGCGGAAGTAGTTAAAATAGAGCAGAAGGTACAAGAAGGAATTAATCTTATTTCAAACATGTTCAATGTCCTAACAAGACTTGACTCTTCATCCCTACAGCTAAAAAATCCTAAGAAGCTTCAAAGTTCCTGGTATGTTGCCACATATAAGCACCATGATATTGGTCGGTATCTACATCAATTAAGGACCTCACACTTTCTTCCGATTCAATAGGAATATCTTCTGATGTGTTTCGAACTGGTTCTTCTCGATGGGATATCACTCACCGGTGAGAACTTCTCTTCAACAGGTTTATCTGCAACCTCATGTTGTGAAGTTGTTGATTCTTTCTTCATATATTTATAGGATACTACCGCAGCTACAGATGAAGTGATGCCTGTGATAAGGAAGAGACCGCGAAAGCTGTATAAGTCAAGTCTGGCAACTTTTGTTGCAGAATCTTGATTTGTGAATAAAGATCGATTTTGAAACCAATTTTGGCTTATCAAGTAAAGTTTTCCATCTTCTCTCATTTTTGCTATTGCTGCAGAAATGTCAGGGACTAAAGGTGACCCCTTAGGAAAAGCCTGCATAAGAGGGCCTTAGAATCATTAATTATATCGATCCCAAAATAATTACTCAACTGTATAGAGAAAAAAGAAAGAGATCTTACAAAGCCAAATCCTTTGGTGCCGTAGTGTGAGGGCTCAACCATGGTGTATTGAGCAGAATACTTGGAAAGAAAGAGCTTTACATAAGGAATTTCATCAATAATTATTGAGACACCACCTTTTTGGCTTCCATCCCTCAGAGCATTCGCATAATCTTCTGCCTTTTTCAAAGCGTGAAAAGAGTGCTTTTTGAAGGGTACATTGGTCAGAAATGTCTGATCAGCTGGACTGTTGAAAGGGAAACCGATAGATTCGCCTTTTGGCAAGGACTGAAGCTGATGAACTGTTAGCATTGAGCTCAGGTTTGCAGTGTAACTGGAAGTAAGTATTAGAACAACAAACAGCCATACAATCACCACAACTTTGGACAAGTTGCTGATCAATTTTTCCCCTGCAAATCATGAGATTGCAATTTAGCTTTGTACTATAT